TCGTCCACAAAATAGAAATTAAAAAATCTATTTCTGGACAGAAATTAATTTCTAGAACAGAAATGTTACCATGCGCGCCTTAATTAGCTAGACGTAAGAGTTTGACTGTCAGATTTGATTAAATAAAACGGTATACATGTTACAACATGTTCATGAATCTACATTTGTTAGTGTTTCTATAAGTAATTATGGATTGAATCTATCCCATTTGACAGTTTAAGGACCTCAAAAGTTTACCTGGTTTGGTTCAAATCTTTTCGTCCACCAAAAGCTGATGGATCTAGCAGAAAGACTAAATTAAGTGGACTTCTACGACGAGTTTATGGAGCTTAAATGCACGAAAGGAAAGTTTTAGGAGTGAAATGCATCGTCGTGACGAGCTTCCGGACTCTTCATATAACTGTACCACTTAACATTGAAACTTCCGAAGCGGTCGCGCCTCTACTTATATTTGGAGCTACCAGAGCCAATTGTGCATCTTCCAAAAACTTGCTAGTTTCACTCATGAAAGTTTCGTGCATCATACGTAGTCATGCCAAACACACGAAAGTCTACAACTTAAGATAACTAAACGTCAAAATTGATTGCTCGTTGTCCTCGGTTATGGTGATATAAGTATGAAGGAAATGCCCTTCCTCACGAGAAGAAGGATTTCTTTCTATTCGAAAGTTAGACCAAGAATTAACTCGGCAGACGGATTCCATACCGAAAGAACTTTTTCCACACCCGGCTCGATGCAAATAGAACTTTTCCACACCTTGCCCATCTTTATCATGGCTCGTAGCAAATTCAGAGAGACGAATGATGGCGCTTTCTGAAAATTAGAGGGGCCCTTTTGAAAAAAAAAATTAAAAATAGAAGGGCGGTTTTGAATTTCGGGTGATGGTACATTAGCTACTATTGACAATTTTACCCTTTAGCCAATGATGGCATGAAAGATTCTCACACCAAGGGCCAAACATTCTAAGTCTATATCATTGACTTAAATCAATCAAATGTCGAGTTGCTAATGCGTGCCCCCACGAGGCAAGAAAATAGTACATAATGGGGCGGCCGAAGAAAAAATTTAAGAAAACTTTGATCCCAATATTTGCATTATCAAAATAATGTTTACGTAGTTCAATTTATTTCCAATAAGCTTAACTATGTAAATTATCATAATTAGTCATTCCAATCGTAATAATGAGAGAGATTATCCGAAAGCTCTTCTTCGGACGCAATCCCGCGTCCGTTTTCTTTTCCATCTCGATCTTTATCTTACATGTCTATTGATTATGCCCGCGGCTAACTCTCAAGGAACATTTCTATTTTGGGATTTCACCCTTTCCAACTCAGATTTACTTTGGAAGTCTATGCTCGCCGCCCTACTCGATCTAAGCGGACGCGAAGGTTTGCATGCATCATCAGCGACGTGCCGAAACGAAAGGCTTTTGACAATCTCGTGTTATTTACTCAAAAAAAAAAAAAAAGAATTCCTCGAGGGGCTCCATTAAAAAAAATTGCATAAGGAAGATCCGAGGATCTTTTACAACTATGCAGAGCTATTTAGCTATTCAAATTTTCAGTTTCCACTCTTGCTTGCTTATGAATTCCACATTGTTTAGGAAGCTCATGTAACATGCGCTGCAAGAAATTCATACTAAAGATGTGGGCTGCATTTCTTCTTCTCTTCTCGTTTTTGAAAAGACAAAATGAAGGGCGAAAGGGGGACACTCAGAGTAGCTGCTTTTTATGAGGGTCATCCATCCGAGGACCCCCCGCCGGCCGCCAAATGTTCGGCTTACCGTCTCGCCGAGCTCGACGTCGCATCGTCCTCACCGGACCACCGTCGTCGAGCTTCTCGACGGTGAACATATGGCTCAAGTTCGATATTGCTTAATGACTCATGACTCACTAGCCATCGAACAAATAGAACTTGAGTGGAGCAAATGTGTATTATTATAAGTCGATCATTGCCAATGCATTGCTACGTGATCAATTATTCAATTGGCACGGCTAGCCGGGGGGGCGAATTTGGACGAATATGTTTGTGAATAATTTGTACTTAGTGACAAAGATGCTACTACTCCACAAAATAATTATAAAATATTTTTGTCAATTTTTTTCTTCAATTTGGTCCCTAATCTCTTAAATTATTGTTGTTCGTATTGGTCCTTTCAATTAAGATATAAATAAGATGTTGACGTGGACCGCGTGCTGTCGAGTTTAGGTGAGGCTAGCCATGAACATTTCTTTCCTCGGCCAAGGACAAATGGCCGAGGGTCATAACCCTGAGGGTTAGGGTTGGTGACTAAGGGTCCGTTTGGCAACGTGCCAAACAGTGAAAATTTCTGTTCTTTTGTTCCCAGAAATAGTTTGGGAGCAGAAATGCGTTTGGTAAACTTTTTGTTCCCGGGCACATTTTTGCAAAAATTTGTGTCGAGAAACAGTTTTGGAAGAGAAACAAGAAGTAAAAAAAAGTTGCTTCTTGTTTCTCGGCACAATTTTAAGAATCAGTTTTTTTTCTTCTTTTTCTTTTTTTTCTTTTCTTATTTTTGTGTTGTTCTTCCCTGGGCTGGGCCGGCCGTCGGCGACCGGCCACAGCCCAGGGCCGGCGGAGGCGAGGGTCGCCCTCGCCGGCGAGGGCGAGGGCTGGACCGTTGTCGCTTGGGCGAGGCGGCCTCGCCCGGATCGGGCGAGGCCGAGCCTCGCCCGAGACGGCGAGGCTCGGCCTCGCCGTCGCGACCCACGGCGAGCCGACCTGCGGGCGGCCGAGCCTCGCCATGGGTCGCGACGGCGAGGCTCGGCCTTGCCGGATCCGGGCGAGGCCGAGCCTCGCCGTCTCGGGCGAGGCCGCCTCGCCCGGGCGGTGAGGGTCCGACCCTCGCCCTCGCCGGCGAGGGCGACCCTCGCCTCCGCCGGCGGCCGGCGAGGGCCGTGACGCCCTTGCCGGCCCTGGGTCTGGCCGGTTGTTGGCCGCGGCGCGACCGGCCATGGCCAAAGAAGAAAATGGATAGAAAGAAAAAAAAATTAAACAATTCAAAATATTATTAAAATATTATTTGGGAACAGAAATTTTGTGTAGTTACCAAACGCATTTTTGTTCTTTTCTACTCTAGGAATAGAAATTTTGGACAGTTTATCAAACGCATTCAAATACTCAGAAATTGTTTCCGGGCACAGAATAAAAAAAAATCATTTCTGTTCAGAAATAGTTCCCGGGCACAGAATGGTATTCATGCGCACCCTAAGTACAACCCTTGCCGCCAACGCACCGTGCTTAGTTGGGGCCACACCCTCGGGGTGTGCTTGGGGTGACCCTTGCTGAGATTAGGGCAAGAGGCATCTTTCCCTTGCTCTCTCCGCGGTCTCCCCTTGTATTTAATAGGGCGGCGATTAGCCTTACTTGAGCACGATGTGATATGTTGTACCATGTCGAGCTTAGTGTGAATTGTGCGACGTTTGGCATGTGGCTCGATTGCCTCTCTCCGATTTGGGTTTGTTCTTGTTTCGTCGATGCTACATCAATCGATTGACCTGGTTAGCATTGACCGGACGAATCGGTTCGGCAATTTCATTCTATTATAATTGAAAGAATTAACACGAAAGAAAAAAAAAATTTAGCATTCCAAGAACTCAATAGGAGGAAGAAAAAATTGTTTAGAGACTTGATTGAACAAATATGCACAAATCCAATGATAGTGACATTTTTGGTCCTTTTAACTTGCTAGGCTCCTTTGAAAAGTGTCCCCGGCACTAGCTAACAAGATATACTTCTTGGCTCGATGGCCAATCTCAATAAAACTTAGTCCCATGTGGTTTAGAGGCCCCCTCGATCTTCAGTTCGAATCCCTCAACTCCTTTCGAATCTCAAGAAATCCCGATTCATTTATGGAGCAAGTTTAGCTTGTGCATTCCAGCATGAGATAATTCGGGTTTTATCCCAATTTGCATGTACGATAGCACGGTGACGACGAACTCACCCAAATTGAGCAATGATTCCGGCTCAAATTGAACATTCCGAACTCCTACTGTAACGCCCGGGGGAATCGTCAATGCCCATCGCCCGTTCTCACCCTTTGTAATAACAAAGTTGGTTCAAGAGGGAGGACAAAGTTAGGTTAAGCGAGAAACCGGATTTTATTGGGGTAAGGTCAAACTCTTGGATTCCTCCATCAAACCAAGAATTGAAATTTAATGTAGATGGTGCGTGGAAAGATAACAGAGGTGCCATAGGTATTATTGCACGATCGTATAGAGGCTCAGCTGTCCAAGCGTGGACAAGACGAGGAAGATGGAACTCGCCAGCGGAAGTGGAAGTGGAAGCTGCAGCTCTTCTTCTCGCATGCAAAGCTGCTCAATCCCTCGGCATCCACAAAGTGATTTTTGAAAGTGATTGTAAGGTGTTAATTGATGCTATTCAACAAAAATGGCATTTTGTCCTTGGTGTATTCATCATTTCGTCTAGGACTCTCGCTTACTTCTTAGCAATAACCCAGAATGGAGTTTCAAGTGGATCAACAGATCTAGTAATGTTGCTGCTCATGAGCTTGCAAAATGGGCTTTTTATCATTTAGGAAATGCTTCATCTTTCTTTTTTAACGATCTCCCACCTAGAGTCAAAAACTTAGTGTTAATGGAGTCTTCTTTAATTTATCGTGTTGATGTAGGCTCTAACTCTTCTGTGTAATATTGTACTTTTCTGATGCAATGGAAGGTTCGATTTAGCAAAAAAAAAGTTGGCTTGTGAATTTTCTTGCTATATACATATACTTTACAGGATCGATCGCATGAGAAACCCGTGAAATGGACGGTCGTGATGCGCCTGATCGAATCGAGTCCCAAAATACACGAAAATCTCGATCAGGCGGCCGGAGTGATTCCCACGCGGTGGTGGCGCCCGCAGGAAAGTCCAACTCGGGAGATCGTCTTCAAGCTCCAGTCCACTTTGTCCGTCCGTCGCTTCGCTTCCTTTCCCACTATAAATTCTGCTCCGTAAACTCTCGCCATTGTCGCCTTAACCATCTCTCTGTCTGCGAGTCTGCGAGTCTGCCAGAGCGAGCGCATACGCCGTTCTCGCGAAGCTCGGAGATCGCCGGAACCGGCGAATCCGTCGCCGTCGCCGGCGCCGTCGGCGTCAGCTCCGAGCAGCTGCCGCCGTCTCCTTCCTTCCCCCGCAGGTGCGTGTGACTGCGCATCCTCTCTTTTCGGCTCGACGTAAGGTGAGCTGGTCGAGTCGGGGACGAGCTCTAGCGTTTCGTCGTTCGCCTCGTCGCGCTCCTGATCTTTGCCTCGCGTCGCGCGTTTTGTCGCGCTGGAAAAAAATTTTGTGAGCAAGCGCGACTTTGAGTGTTCTCGTTAGCATTCTCTCGGTCGACGTCGGGCAGCCGCGAGCGTGGAGCGATCGTGGTGTCGTGAGGTCGCTCCGTTGCGTGGAGTTAGATCTGGTCAGCAGCGCCTTGGTTAGCGGTTGACTTTGGATTCTGTGTTGGCCGATCGCGGCGTTGGTTCGTCGCCGGCCTTGAGCTTTTTTGTTCGAGCGCTGCTGCATTCCTCTGTTGTTTTTTTTATTTTTTCCCCTAGAATGATTGGTTTTGGACGGTTTTAGTCTCTCGCGAAGCTTTCGCGTTCGTGTATGTCCTGGAGTTCTAATATCGCTCGGTTTCGGATTCTCCTGCATGATCTGGTCAACCATGAGGTTTCTCTTTGGGCCTGCTGGTCAACCATGAGTTTGCAAGTGGTGTATTTACATGCTCTGGGGGGGGGTGTTTTGTCTAAAGCAAAAGTCAAGATGGAACAACGCGAAAGCAAAAGATTAGGACTGTTCTTGATTTAATTATGACGGTGCCGTGATGGAAGGTTGTCCTCTTAATTGTTCTTTCTTATGATTCCAATGAGTATCTCATGTGGATCCCACGAGATCACTCCTTTCCTTTCGGGTTTTCGTTTTTCTGTTGCTGAATTTTGATTGAGGTTGCATTAGAGTTGTTAGATTGCGAGCTTCTCCTGGTGGTGATTCATCCTTATTACTGTATGTAACTCGGATAAATTCATTGTGCAGCGACTGCTTACAGCTCTGACCTGCGCAATTGAAGGCTTTTCCGTTTGGTATATCAGCAGAGATGATGTTCCTGCGGAGGAAGAACCCTCAAAACCATCCGGAAAATGATTCTCTGCAGAAAGATGAAAAGGTAAAAGATTATAGCATTGTTAGTCATGGGACTAGGAATGAGGTAATACAAGTAACAATCTCATTGTATTTCCGTCCTAGAAGATACTTGCTTGCTAGCAGAATCAGTTTATGACCTGTTAAACACAAAATTAGTGACTCGGCGATAGACTCGTGGGAATATATTCCCAAACTTTACCGTACAGACACTGACGGTTATTATGTTCTCAGGTTAGTGAGCTCAGGGCTGAACTTGGACCTCTATCTGGACGTAGTCTTAAATATTGCACCGATGGATGCCTGAGGAGGTATTTAGTAGCTCGAAACTGGAACGTTGAAAAGTCAAAGAAAATGCTGGAAGAGTCGCTTAAGTGGCGGTCCACTTACAAACCTGAAGAAATCCGTTGGGTAAGTTTGATGAAATACAATCACGTGGTCCTCTAATTATTATTGACGTACCATGTCCTCCATATCTTATATCTCCTAGTTGGTGGAAAATGTTGGATGAATGGTGTAGTTTCGAACACAATCAGTTGCAGGTTGTGTAAAATCCTCTGGGAATTCTATTTTCTGCCTATGTCAACTTAGTTTCTATAAGAATCTGTGTGCTGTTCTATTTACACATATCAAATTTAAAAACTATCGGGGAGTCGATTTTCTCTCCGAAAAGTAGAGATGTAGATGTATGCGTTCTTGCTTCTTATGTAGCTACTGACTAGAAAAAAGCTTCGACATTCATAAAATCTTCTATGGGACTTGTAATGGTCTGGTAAGTTTTCTAGCAAATAGCCAGGCTAAGTAGTCACGATGCCCTGTCCAATGGAAAAAGTAGTCACGATGCATCTTTATTTTAGTGTTGCCCTGTCCAAAAGTAAAAAGTAGTCATGATACATCTGTATGTTAGTGTTTCCCATGGGCATAAGAATGTCATGCGCTTTTCTAAGATTTTGATATACCTGCCGAGCACTCTCTTTGTTTTACTTCACGTTTTGCCTGAATATAATTCGTTTCACTAATGAGATACCTTTGTCATATAGCCCGAAGTTGCGCATGAGGGTGAGACTGGAAAAGTTTCTAGGGCGGACTTCCATGATCGATTCGGAAGGACTGTGCTCATCATGAGGCCTGGAAAGCAGGTTTGCCCATTGATTTTTTCCTTGGAAGTTTTTCCTTTTTTCAACTCACTAATGCTTTTGCTAAATATTGATTTTTGCAAAATTTACATGCTTATGTATGTATTTGTCCGACCTTTTCTCTCTACTGTGTAGAACACAAAATCAGCAGAAGGAAATATCCGCCATCTAGTCTATCTGATAGAAAATAGCATCCTCAACCTTGCTGAGGGTCAGGAATCAATGTCATGGTTGATTGACTTCACTGGATGGACATTGAGGACACAAGTTCCTGTCAGAACTGCTCTCGATATTATCAATGTCTTACAGAGCCACTACCCTGAGAGGCTTGCCGTAGCGTTTCTGTATAATCCACCTAGAATTTTCGAGGCATTCTGGAAGGTTTGATTTCTTCCTGAGGTCTATATTAATATATTTTTTGATCGAGATGTGAACTAGTTCTTGCATTTGCTCTACCATCCATTAGATTCCTAAGAGCATTTTCTGCTAGGAAGCATGCATTGCCACCCAATGAGTGTGATTGTTTTGACACTCATCAAAAGCACAATCCAGTAAGAAAAAAACATAGAAAAACCCAGGAAGATGTCTTTATCTTTTTATCTCGCTTCATCAGTTGTGCCTACATTTGAGAATTTGGAGGTGTGACGAGGGTTGCGGCATTGCATTAATGAAACGTATTGCTTGTAATTTTTTGTATTGCAGCAAGAGCATTATCTCTAACAAAGAGATAGGATGACTTTTTAAAGTGTATCTGAATTTGCGATGCTTGTCATTTATAGGCAATCAAGTACTTCTTGGATCCAAAAACCTTCGAAAAGGTGAAGTTTGTTTACCCGAAAAACAAGGACAGTGTGGAACTGATGAGCACCTTCTTCGACGTGGACAACCTTCCGAGCGAATTCGGGGGCAAGGCCACACTGAAGTACGACCACGAAGAGTTCTCGAGAATGATGGCCGAGGACGATGTTAAAACAGCCAAGTTCTGGGCCCTTGACGATAAACCTCACAATCCTTCTAACGGGCACGTGGGCGTGGAGGCTTCACCCATACTCATCGCATCACCGGCCAGTTGATTTAGCTTCTGCAGCGCCACCCATCATATGTAAGAAACTAAGTGAAAACCACGAGATCTACCTACTTAATGTGAAAATGATGAGATCCTTTTCTTTAGCCGCATAAGCCATTATCGATTCTGTAAAACTACTCGTACTCTCTCAACAATGGAGGACATTCTTTTATCGCCCCATCACTTGAATAGTAAAGCTCCGACGTTGAAGATGACCAACTTCTACTGCGGTTGTTTCACCTTCAAACTTGTCTGTTATGGCACAAAGTGGTCCTCAGTCAATAGGTCGTCGCTCTTACATTGTCCCAATGCCCAGCGATTTCGTGTCACCGTTCCTTGAGAGTAAGAACGAAAACATGGAACTTTTTGTGTTTGGGACACCAGTAAAATCTGATTCCTCCAAGTGCAAATCGAAGTTCGTCGGTTAATGACGATGCGCTTTATTCCTTTCCTGCAACATTCGAGATCACATGAAATTTGCATCGGACAGCATCAGTCTTCACTTCACCAGGTGACAATCTTTTGATAAGTTTGATGTTCCTGAATATTGACGAAACATAATTAGGCGAGCTGTATTTAATTTCGATGTGCATATATATATATATTTATTCCTTCATTTCCTCTCATTTCTCTGGGCCGTTGCAGAACTAAAATAACAAGTGCCTTCAGAGGACTCGAAAGCAACACTTTATTGTTTTAGTTATAACATAACACGTTACGAATCAGCTTATTGAAAGATGTAAAATTTACTTTAGAGTTATTTACCGTTCGTTGAGGAGAATTTTTTTTTTATAACGAATTCCAATTGGTAAATGGATTTGACAGATGGGAAGGCCCAAAGATAGTAGGTACGACAATTGAATGGCCTCCAGATTTGGTGAGGTGTAATTGTGAAGGTAGGTAATGATCAATGAGCTTTTTTCACAATTCAGCCTTTTCTAGTGTCATTTAATGCCGTGACAACCTCCAGCCGACCTCAATTGCTCTCCGAAGGCCCACAGATTCGGCGATGCAATTGCGTCCAGGGAATGGCAAGATCGCAGCGACCCACCACATGAGACAGATCTATACTTTTCCCATCATGTCAATGTTCTGGCCCAGATTCTTGGCAATTAAGAAGGAAGCAAAGGAAAAAAAATCAGGCTAGATCACTGGATTAGCTCCAAACATGCTTTACTTTTTAGGAATTTTCCTTTCTTTCTGGAAATATACTTTTCATCTCAAACTGGACGCGGTAACCATATTAGAATGACAAAATAAAGAAAAATCTACCGATGCAATGTTTTTAACTCTGTACGGGAACCGCCGGGGTTTGTCTCAATGGCTACCCTTCTTACTTGAGAAGGGGAAGGTGGAGAGTTCGATTTCTTACCTTCTCAGGGGATTAGGGGTAGGACGTTTACTTTCGATGTTGGTTTCAACTTTCATACTTTGCAAAGAGGTAAGGCAAAAGTTTGAGAGTGAGTTGAGAGTTAGAGTAGGACAGATAAAAAAAAAAAACCTATACACGGGAGATTGTGAAAAAGAAAAGAAGATAAGATTCCTATTTGATCAAAAAAGCCCTATTTGCAAGCGCATGCATAGCTTCCATTGTTAGTTGTACGGGCCAGTCATACCTTCTCCAAGGGAAAAGACCCTTTTGTTGGATGTCGTCAATTAAGATATTGCAATCACTTACGGAAATTAATTTTCTAATGCCGAGGGACTGAGCATGATTTCTGGCGGGAAGAAGAGCTGTTGCTTCCACTCCTATCGGTGAGTTCCAACATCCTCTTCTTGTCCAAGCTTGGGCTACTGAGCCGCTAGCTGATCGTGCAATATAAATCTATGGCTCCTTTGTTTCCTTTCCACGCGCCATCCACATTAAAATTCAGCCCTTGATTTGACGGTGGGAGCCGGGAGTCTGTCCTTTCCCTAGGAGAATCGGCTCCCGAATATATCTCGACTCTGTTCTCTTCCCTAAACTTGTCCAAAAAATCCATGAATTCCTGTAAAACCAACTTAATAGCTTGGGAAGAATTTGGAATAGCTTGATCATGTAATTATAGCATTCCTAAAACACCACATTCTGGGACATGGCTTTACTTCCAGTTGAATATAATAGTAACACACAACTTTTCCATCAAATGGTAATAGGCCACAGCTTCATTTTGTATCAGACCCAGAAGTCCTTGTGATCCAAATTTTTTTTAGACTCCTCAATTTAACTCCCGATTCAGAATTTTGATTTTGAGCTAATGTTAATATCGACATAGGCGTAAATAGCGGAGTTACAACATAACCTCAAAATCTTAGATTATCACGAATGAACGTCAAAGGAATGTTGATTTGGCCGCTAGGTACGGTCCGCCTCGACTAGTCGCCAATACCCGAAAAAGGAAAAAAAAAATAGAGGCTAAACACTTGCCTTGTACTAACCAATATCATGGAAAAAAACAGGACCTAAACCAAGGAATTGCTATTGATGGACTCCAACAGATAGCCACTATCCTTTGGTTAATTCCCGTTCAGTACAAAACGAAATGGGCTAGAGATTGCGTCAGTTTGGGCTCATTTTCGTTCGGACAGCATGCCGCCGCTCTCGTTCTGAAGATTAGAGCAGTTTCATTTCTTTGTAAATAGTTCATAGACCAATTCGAGAATGAAAATTTCTTTGCAAATACAAATGCTTCTTAGCTAGATCAGCCTACGGTTTTTCCGATAACTCGAGAGCCGCCTTTTAAGACCAACAAAGCCAGTGATATCAATACGATGGCCTGCCGATGGCACTACACTTACAAGAAGTAAGCTTCATTTCTAACGTGTAAATCCTGGTTTTTCCAATCCGAAATTGAAAGAAGAATGCCATTGTATCTGCCTAAAAGATATTTAAAACAAGGATTAGATCATGCGGCAAATTAACTGTTTTATGAAATTGCAGGTTGCGTCGCCGGAAACTCGGTGTCCATCATTTTAAAAGTTTAGGAATGGCCAAATAACAAAACCATATAACTAAGCTACCAGGCCTTTTTGGTGGTGTGGCGATTAGCACTTAAGGCGACTACTTCAGTATACTGTCTAAAATAGGGGGAAAAAAGAAGCTACGAGAAGGAGGAAGAAAGGTGTTTATGGAGGGAACACAATATGTAGAGACTTAGAAGTACATACTACACTCTGTATTCCTAATAGAGGATGCTCTTCCTCAGGTTTCATACACTAGGATTAGCAGAACAAGCAGATTGTACAACAAAAGAGTTCGATTCACTGTTATTTCAAGTGCTCACCACTGATTTCTCTATATACACTAGGGCTCTAGGGCGAGCATGGGATGCTCGGTTAAAGTTCGCTGGAGTAGAGGCATTCGTCCACGAGTTGGCGAAGGTTAGGGTTCTCCAGGGCAGCAGCAACTCTTTCCTTGTCGTTCAACTGCTTATTCACTACAACACGGAGAAAGAAAAATTCGCAGATTTTTTGTGTTAGTTTTGATTTGGTAAGAATAACAATGGGCGGTGGAGATTCTCCCATTTGCTTGAGAGTAGCACATCGCAGATAAATCACGCAATTAGTTTCTTTCCGCATCCACCCAGACAGATATAAATCTAACACCAGCTAGATAAGAGACAATGCAGATATTTGTGCAAATGCACAATTTAGAAGGCGATTGAGATTGTTTTCTCCAAAGGATTTAACCACTGCATTTGGAATTGAACGAATTATGGACATCATAGAATTATACACCTATTTTTGGAGCGGTCATAAAGTTGTAAAAGCAGGATTCATGTTTGAATTGTGCGTGTGGAAGATTACCCAAATTTTGGTTAAGTGAATAACGTATATCGAACTCAAACACCTGCTCACAATCAGTTAACAGGAGCTCATTTACAGTCACAAACTTGCTCCATGTTCCTTTTCTCTTTACTCCTACATCCAATTAGAGTAATCTTTACGCTAGGAACTCTATTTCAGCCTTTACTAGTTCTAAGTACCTCAAATTCTATTTACAAACATCATGAAAAGTCTGTGAACTCCACATGAACGGTTGATGATAATATGAGCAGCATGAATCATTACTTATGTCAAAATGCAATCGGGATCCATTGAGTATCACCTGATTCTTCATCTGCATGAGACCCTGGGGCGACTTTGATGTCAACCTGTAAGGTATGTTTCAGCAAAAACGTCAATCAAGACAGAGAAATATGGCATCAAATATGCACCATCATTATTCTATCGAAGACTTGAATCAAACAAGGAAATCCAATGGAAAGAGCCGAAAGCACATTATCCTATGCTCACCTAGCACGCACAATACTAATTAAGCAGATATATCCAGCTGATCTACAGTCAAAATGATGTATCTTTACTGTGATAATCATAAAAAAAACGGAAAGAAAAAAATCACCGTCATTCACAGCATATAAAGACTGATGCTGGGCATCTGGAAGGTGCACAAAACGCTAAAACACTTAAATCACCAGATTTACAATTTTTAACATCTGATATCATAATCTTCTCCTAGCAAAGTCTTGCAGACAATACTTGGATATGTGCAGCTTAAGAAAAGAAGGTAAAACATCTCCCAAAGAATTTTTTTTTTTTCAAATAAAAAGAAGCATACCCATTGGCCATTGCTGTGAAGTTACCGATATATCTTTTAGCTGTAGACTGTGGGGAAACAATAAACAATCTTCCTGTTCCTATCTATAGATATCACGTTTAGCTTTTCAATCACTAATAAACTAGCTAATTCAGTATGGTCCTTTGGTATCGTTGATGAAGGACCTGTCTCCTCAGTCAACAATCTGAGACAACTACCTCAAGAATTGGTGATGGATCTTAAAGTAGAAGCGAAGCTCGCATAGATTCAAACTCATCATTAAGTGCCATCAGAAATTGCATAACACGTATACGATGGCGATATTCAGCAAACTTGCAAGCATCGGAAGCCGCTTGCCATTGTGGCTCTAGTTGATCCCAGATATCATGCATGGTGGATATAAAATCATTAATAGACCGAACTGTCTTCTGATGCATGCAATGCGGATTTCCTAACAGCTGATACTATTACTAACACAAGTAAATGGATATGAACTGCGAAGGATTGCATAGCTACGTTGACAATGCTTCAGAATGTAACTTTCAGCGCATCAATTATCAACCCACTTCGTCATACCAGACAGGGCGGACAACTACAACAGTACACAACTCAGTTCAGCTAAACTCACTCAGCCTCGGAATTGAATCATAACATGTACCAGTACATGACATAAAATGTTAGAGAATGTGCTAAAAGCCGCATATAGCATGTTCGAGCGCGAAATAGACAACTTTCACTGCCGATTCCCACAAAAGCAGATAACTGACCTTGAAATGTGGAGGGAAACAATCTTTGAGCTTCTCTCTCAAGCACAGTCCAATGACAGTCACCATACTGCAATGCTGGATTGTCGGAGTAAACATGATCCTGAAAGAAAAGAAAAGACTTCAAACACAAAATCGCAACATAAGCACGATCACAACAGGGAATCGCAACAGTAGGACCAAAAACAAAAAAACGATGACAATTCTTAACAGGATACGCCCAAGTTTCTCATCGACGGTGATGGATTCCTCCGACAGAACACTGAGCTGCTCCAGAGAATAGGGATGCTCGGGATCTCGGATGTCCCTCACATGATTTGCCGATTCAGAGTCAAAGATCACAACTTTATCACTTTCTTTCAACACCCACTTGAATTTAGCTAACGAAGCAATCAACAAAACAGAATGCTAACGGGTGTAGCATCACGAATTCCCAAAGTAACGCAAAAAAGAGATTTTGCTTAAATCAGAGGTCAAAGAAGGGCTACGCAGGATCGGATAAATTTTATCTCATGCGGGTGGAACAGCAAGCGATAAGTGACGAGAAAAGAAGGATATCATAAATCTCGAGGGGATCGACGGCGTCGTCGGCGTGGGGGTCTTCCGTCCGAGCGACCCTCTCCTTCTTGGCGTGAACCACCGGGTTCGCATTGATCAGCCCCAAAGTCATCTCTCTCACTCTCTGTCTCTGTCTCTCTCACCCACCCACCAATGGAGAAGATGAAGGATGAAATTGAAAACGAAATGGGTCTCTCTCTTCTCGTCCCGATACCCTTTATCTCTCTCTCTCACCCACCCACGAATGGAGAAGAAGAGAGGGTGGTGGAAATTGACGATGATGAAATGGGTCTCTCTCTCTCTTTCTCGTTCCGACACACAAAGGTACGGAACACAGTGGAACCTACTGTCGTGTCGTCCAGAGTTCACGGGCGTGTCGTACGAGGGTCAACCGTGGAACGCCAGGTTTGGGCAGGTTCAGTTCATCTGAGCGAGAAGAGCAGAATGGACAGTATGATAGCTTTTAGCTTCGCTTCTTTATTTCCTACGTGTTTATGTCCACCCTTATTCCTTTCTATGAAAATTTGGATCATCCGGAAACAGATCCATAAGTAAAAGTAAATTTTACTCTTGATCATAAATTTTTGAATTCTTATAAGTTATGATATCTTTTCTTTTATAAAAAATATGAAAAAAATAAAGAAAGTTATGATCGGTTGGGCCGAAAATTCATACCTTAATGGACCATGAAAATTATGAAATAATGACACGAATGATTCCTGAATTTTAGCCCAATATGGCCTATGAACTTTAACCCAATATATAATGTGGTCCTTGAATTTTTAATTTATTCAATGTGGTCCTTAAACTTTTGGTACATGTTTAACTTAGTCATTATATAAAAAAAAAAACTTAATTCTTGAACTATATGAAAATGGCCAATGTTGTCCTTAAACTTAAATTAATGGAGTGACAACATTGAACAATTTCATATAGTTCGGAGACTAAATTGAACATATACCAAAAGTCCAAGGATCACATTGAACAAATTAAAAGTTTAGGGACTCCATTACACATTTGGGTGACAATTCAAGGGCCATATTGCACATTAGGCCAAAGTTTATTGACTATTTGCATCATTTTCCCTAAAATTATCCTCTCTAATCACATCCAACCTCTTGCTTTTTTCAACATTTAGGATCCATTTGTTTTGACAAAATAAATGATATGGAAAATATTTTTCTAAAATAATTGCTTATATAATTTGAAATAATTGGTCGATGAATTTATTTTCATTATCTACGATAATTTATATTTAAACATCTTTATGAAAGCTGAAAATATTTTTTTTCATTTATTTTTTAAGTGATGTAAAAGATCATTTTTAGAAAAATATTTTCCCAATTATTTATTTTTCTGCAAAACAAACGTAGTCGGGTACGTTCGTTTTGCGGAAAATGAGTGGTTTGAAAAATATTTTTCGAAAAATGATCGCTCATATCGTGTAGAAAAATAAATGAATGGAAATTTGTTTTATTGCCCACGTATTTTGACTTTTTACTTGCCACTAAAGAGAAGAGAAAAGTACCAAAAAATTCCTAAACCTATAGTCATAAATCTTTCAATTTAACCAATTTAGTCTTAAACATTTTCACATTTGTACTAATTTAGTTCATCAAGTCAATTTAGGCCGGAAATTGCTGAGACATTGGACACCCTATGTAACATCCTGAATTTCGACCTATTTCCGGAATCAATGAAATAGATGTTATTTCTTATTTCATTTTAGTAAGTCTCGCCCGGAACTGATCATTCTCGGGATACTAACCTTTAGGGAATGGCTACCTAGGGAAATGTACGTGGACCTAAGAACTCGATCATGAGTCGACCTTCGGTGACGATCGAGGTCGCCATGACTCGAATAACCCTAGGTCGATACGCGTAATCCCTAAATAGCCGCCCGTTAGTGAGAGACCCTAAAATTGAGATTGGGCGATTTTGATCGCGAAATTGGATCCGGACTTGGATGTCGATTTTCGGGATCGTGCGCGACTATTTTTACGAGGATGACGTCATTTTAGTGTGGCCAATGATATTTGGGGTTGGTATGGTCGAAAAATGGAAATTCGGCCCGGGACCGGAAAATTACGACTTTGCCCCTAGGCCTATTTTTGGGTATTCCGAATTTTAGGAGGAATTATTGAAAAATTATTTTGGGAAATTAAGAGGATAAGATCAGCCCAATAATGCAAGGATGAAAAGACTAGAATGCCCTTGGATATTTTGGCTTGGATTAATGTAGACAAAGTGAGAGAGGGGCAAAATGGGCATTTTGGAAAAGTTGGTCAAAATTTGACTATTTAAGTCAAATCTCTCTCTCTCCTCACTCATTTCCCCTCCCCCACGGCAGCCCCCTCCCCACCAAATTCTTCCTCTCTCTCCCTCCCGAACTCTCCCCCACCGTGAAGCTCCCATCGCCGGACTGCCGCCGTCGCCGCTTGCCTTCGCCATCGCCAAGCCGCGCCGCCGTCCACCGCCGTCCCCGCCGTTTGCAGCCGCGCTACGTTCTAGCCACTTTAGTCTAGAACCAAGTAAGTCGCGATCTAATCCCTATTTAGGACGTCGGGTATTTTCGGACTCGTTCGGGTATGGTTTAGAGGATTTAGAGGTTGATTAAGGTGTCGATAATGGTTTTTGGTGGTTGATTGTGGTTATTGGTGGCTGATCGTGGTTGTTGATGGCTGATCATGACTGTTAGCGGTTGTTGCGGGTTGGATTAGACGTCGGGAAATGAGTTTAGGTGGTTGGAATTCGGTAGAAATCGGTTCGGGTTTGAATCCGTGAGGTTCGGGGTGAATCGCGGATTCGCGGTTACTGTACCCGCCCGGTTTGCTATTTTTGTAGAGAATTTTGTGGGCCGAATTTGAGAAATTTTTCTTCATGAAAATTGTTCCCGACTTCTTGAGATATAACATAATTTAATTTGGGAATTTTTGAAAATCATTTGAGGCCATTCGGAAGTCCATCTTTGGACCGAAATGGGTCTGCCCGATTTACTGTTCACCCAACCTTCGGGTATGTTCGAATTTTTATAAATTTTTTCAGGCCTATTTTCAAAATACTTCCTTCACAAAAATTGTTGGGGACATTTGTGGCTATAACATATAAAAATTTCAAAGCTTTTCAAGGTGATTTGGATGTTGAAAGAAATGTATTTTGAGGACAAAACAGTCTGTTAGAGCGAACAGATTTTGGTCTGACTTCGAGGGATAAAAAGGCATGGTTGCAGATTGAACCGGATTTCGTGTTCTTCATAAGAAATGTTGATCAAGATGTTTTTTTATGACATATCCAAAATTTATAATTTTTGGAGTTGGTTTACTATTTATTTCAAATGGATTTCTGTCACTGCGCAACTGCCCAGTTTGGACCCGATTTTACATATTCTCCATTTTTCTCTCTCTCGAGAATTATTCGGTGTTATCGTGGCATTTTGACGGGTAGTTTGATGCTTGAATGAGCTCGTATGTGTGATCGTGTGGCTGTGAGGTGTGGTGGCGTGATTGCGCATTGAGTTCGCGTGCCAAGCTTGGGTGTTTGTGTGGTGTTCGCGTGATGATGGTGGGTAATTGTGAAAAGTATGTGCGAGATGTGAATTTGTGTGTGACCGTGTGTATGTGTGGCCGTGTGATACGTGTGGAGAGTGTGGAACGAAGGTACGGAAATGTAGGATTGATAGGAAAAGTAATACCCTCAGGCGTGTTCGTTTACGCGAGGTAAGGTCCGTCCTGAGGCGTGTTCGTTTACGCGGGACGATGCCGTCCCTGACGAGGTGACGATGCCTGGCCCGACGGGGTGACGATGCCTGACATGGTCAGAAGACCGTTGGCCTGATGCGTTTTACGCGGGCGCGGTAATGGTGGAAAGGTTGAGAACGAGCGGGATTTGGCTTGACATGTGAGGATTGTGAAAGTGATGCATGGTGTGAGTTAGTGTGCGAGTGTGTTTGTATCGCGTGATGCAGTGCGCGATTATGGGGTAAAATCTACTAGGCATGGTATGGGACGTGCCCAAGTAGGTTTTGCCTTATAATCGAGGCATGCGCGCGGCTGTGATGTATTGCTGTGGTATGATTGGCGTGTGTATCGATATGTGGAAAGTGTGTGATGGCATGCGTGCAAGAATTGTATGTTGGGATTGTGGGCTAACGTGCATGGTGCGTATGCAGAGAGTCCAGGTATGTGTGAATGTTTGATTGCTGGTTGTGTGGTTGTTTGGTTGCGCGTTTGGATGTGTCTGGAATTACGTGATAGTCTAGGTGGGGCTTAGGTTGTGACTTATTGAGATGTGATCTCATGGTTGTTTCAACCAAACCATTTCAGAGCCCCCGCCTGAATGTCGAGATTGAGGTCGACTCGGAGTCGTCGGGTGAGCAGACAGCTGCGGAGGATTCAGGTGGTGATGCCGAGGACAGTGAGTCAGAGTGGACGCCTTCGAGAGGGCGTAGGGGATAGTTCCGGGAGGAGGATGCGCCCCATTTTTGGATAGTCTTGACCTAGAGAGCGATCTTGATATTTTGGTGGTTTGGAGTTTATAGTTCGGTGTGCTTATAAATTATTTTGTGGTTTGTATTGGCGGATGATGTAAATATTTGGAAGTGTAATATATGCTTGGTGGTTTGACGATTTGTTCCTTCCTAGTGTTCTCCAATTTTAATGTCCGGGATTTTTTATTACTTCCGCCGCGATTTAACTCTGATGGATCGTTGGGTCGGCGACGTTATTCCTGGGACGTCGCACTCTTCCGACCGAGGAGAGGGATGTCGCAGGCTCGATGGGGTTCGAGGCGTGACATCCTACGTGGCATGGCCAGCACTGACGTGGACAATTTTCTAAAATTTTAAGATTTTTTTTTTGTTTTTCTTCTTTTTTTTCCTTTCTTTTTTCCCCATCTATGGGCCGGCGAGGTTGTCGGTGACAAGCGAGGTCTGGGCGGCCCTCGCCCACCCGGCCCAAAAAAAAAATTATTAAAAATTCCAAAAAATATTAAAAATTGTAAAATTTGTTAACATCGGCTCTGGACGTGTCATGTAGGATGGTCAGCGTTCATGTCAGCAATTTTTGGCCTAAATTGGCCAGATGGATTAAATTGGTATCGATGTGAAGATTTAAGACTAAATTGGTTCAATTGAAAGGTTTATGATTGAATTGATATCAATGTAATAGGTTTAGAGCTTTTTTGATACTTTTCCCCTAAAGAGAACACATGTTTTTTTTTTTCACTAGCTACATCGATGATGTTAACTATTTTCCTAAGCAAACCTGTCATGAATATAATAAATTGATATTCTCATAATGTGCGTAGACCATATGCCAAATGTCATTACGCAGAATAAAAAACTTTCGGACAATATGTATCACTTAGGAGCACTTGAACTTATGCTTAAGCTCATGTGCTTTTGCCAATTCATATACTTTAGAGCTAAGAATGATGCACGAAAGCCATAAAAATGGTCAGTACGGAATATTTTTTTCGATTTGTTATACCAACAAGATTTGAAATTTTAATTTGAGATCTCAATTTCAAGGAATCTGTTGTACAAAATTAGTGTCTTGAACACTTCATCATTTCAAATATTATCTCCTAGAATTATATTTCTTAAGATGATGATTGTATATGAAATTAGCTTAATCATATCTTCAATAAATAATCGAAATAATCAAACTTTTTACCAAAATTAAAAAAAAAAACTTGCGAAATTTCCAAAAAGGGGCTTTCTTACAAGAGAGGGACTTTCGACGAGCGCGAGCCCATAAGCCCATCTCTATGTCGCCGACCCAAACCCGACCCGCCTGTGAATCTTCTGCAACTCGCAGGTTCTTGTTCTTCGTGAGATCTTCGCTTTGGCAATTCGGTCTCCCGTCGTCGCTCGCTTCCCGCGAACCGTCGTCCCTCATCGCCATTTGAATCCGGCGGCCTCGAGTTTGTGGCAGCGATTCCTCCGACCGTCGAGCCCGGGATCTCTCGACTTCGCGTCGCGACGTTTTGCCGTCGCCGCGCCGGCGGAGATCGTGGCTCCTGAGCCGAATTGGAACCGACCGGAAAATTCAACAGGTATCCTTCTTTTGGGCTCTTCGATTTTGCAGAATCGGTCCGCATGATGTTGGGTTTCTAGTCACCGCGTTTCGTGATCCTCCCGAGCTTCGCTTGGCCTCGTCTCGAGGTTGACGAGAGATTTGAAGAATCGACGCTTCGCGTATTTCAAAGCTCTATGGATCGAATCTATATAGTCTAGGATCCATTGTCGCGTGTTCCGCATGATGGGCACACCTAAAACAGTTGTTAGGATGCGCGAATGCATTTGTTTATATCAGGAAAGGAGCAAGTTCATGCCTTTAGCTATGAAATTGAAGTATCGATTATGGTGGTGTTCTTTTGAACTTTTGGGTTCGTGGAAGTTGGTTCCTTTGCTGATAGTGAGAATCTGATTCTGAGTCCTCAAGTTCTTGTCCGATCCCAAAGTTCGACTTTTTCGTCGTTTCGGTGGTGGTCTTACAATGTGTAATCATGAGGATATCGGTTTGCAGAGGTAGCTTGAGAGGCTGAGAATGGAGCTGTACCGTGTCTTTTAGTTTATGATTTTGAGACTTGAGAGACACATTGTCTTTTGGGCAAGGCAAAAATCAGAGCTTCCGGAGTGAGCTACAAGGAAAAAGAGAACGATGATTAAGGCAGTGATGGTTATGAACACCCAGGGCAAGCCTCGCCTTGCCAAATTCTATGATTACCAGGTCTCTCTCTCTCTCTCTCTCTCTCTCTCTCTCTCTCTCTCTCTCTCTCCCATTACCGTCTTGTGAAGAAAAGGGTTATCATCATCTTCAAGTTTTGTTTCATTTTCCATCTTTGGTGTACTTATTGTCCAGCTTAACTTTTTAATGTCAGCCCGTGGAGAAGCAGCAGGAGCTCATTCGCAGTGTCTTTGCAGGTTCTTCTTCTTCCTCTCTCTCTCTGATAGTTTTTCAAATTCAAAGCTTTCAAGCAAAACAATGTCATCTCTTTCATGATGGAAGTTTATTCCAATACCCTTTGTGAATTAGCTTGCTGGGTTTGCAAAGTTGAGGTTGTTACTTTTGAATGCAGCTTTGAGCGGTAGAGCTGAAAATGTGAGCAATTTTGTGGAGGCTGATGCAATTTTTGGTTTGGTATTTTCTCTGTCTTCTATCTTTGTTAAGAGCTTCTTTCTCTAGTTTAAGTGCTTGAACTTTGGAATTGTTGTGTTCCGGGAGATCAAAGAACTGGCCATTGTATGCTTTTTTTGGGCTTTGCTTCATAATGTTCAGAAAAATGCATAATAGTTGAGTAGTATGGAGTTACCTGGTCATTGCTATTTAAAGTTTACCTGACTTGTTACACAACCAATTCATCCTTATCCCGGAAACTTATGATATTTGGGAATTTGCTAGCCAATGTGTATGTGTTTTTTGACGCGTACTGATCAGATAGCTTTTCATGATCTGGTCATATAATTTACTACAGGCATTTAACCTATTCTTTTTGTGATTGTCCCTCTTGCAGGACAGTCGTCTAGTGTACAAGCACTATGCCACACTATACTTTGTCTTCGTGTTTGATAGCTCAGAAAATGAGCTTGCGATGCTTGACCTGATACAAGGTTAGTACACAAGGTTAGTACCATTGAGTTATCTATACTGCTCTTGGGTTGTAATGTTTCAAAAGTCATTGCCACATAAAGGTAGTTGTTTCATAGCCGGTTCGTCTTTTAAAAGAATTTTTTAACATAAATGAAATGAAGTCCCTTATGGAAAAAATATGCCTCTGCATACAAGTAGGTAGGACTTGGTCATTTGATCAAGTTTTAGTTCAAAGAATGTATTGGGGACTGGAAGCTACAAAAGTGCTACAGTATGTCTGGGAGATAGAGAGAAATATATCCAATAAAGAACTATGAAGTGCTTTTACTTGGGGCTAAAAAGCAACACGTGAGATGACCAGAAGAAGCTCTCTTTTATCCGATTGATTGCAAAGCATCATGATGCATAGACAAGATAAAGCATCGACTGAATCTCCGGCTAGAGGGAACGAAACATCTATAAGAAATTTTGTTTGTCTTCTCTTATTATGTTTCTGATACTAATGAAGCCCTCCTATACCTTAAAATTGAGTCACAAGAGGGATGGAACTCTAAAGTAATTGTTTCCTTCAGATATTCTCCTCTATCTATTTAAGTTTGATGTTATGAGTTGTGCTCAATGTGAGTGAAAGCCAAAGACAATGGAATCTATTAATTGGGTCATATGTCCTCTTTTCCTCATTCTCCCTCGTCAGTGAGATTAGGATCTGCCGGTACAAGATTTCTCTCGGAATTACAGATGACACAAAGTTTAAAAGAAGTGGAACATATTTTGAGTTTCAACATGTGCAGCTGAATGGCTAGCTTGGTCTCTGATGCTTTTGCTGTGTTCTTCCCTGCGCCACCTTTTGCCCACCTGTCTGTTCCTGCTTTTTTCATCTAAACAAGACTTCACCACTTCAATAATGAATTGCCTTGGCTAGACTACATCTATATGCTCCATTGATGTTGATGCAATTATTAGTTTATCTCTAATCTGTTCTTTGATTGATTACTTACTTGCTTGAACTCTTGTTTTCTCAGTTTTTGTGGAGACACTGGACAAATGCTTCAAAAATGTATGCGAGCTTGATATAGTGTTCAACTATGGCAAGGTTACTTATATCTCATTCATTTGAAATATCTTTATTTTACTTCTTACTACTTGTTTCTCCAGAGATGTCAATGAATGTGGGTGATTTCTGCTAGAACTTTTATCAATGCTGGTAAATATGCTTATGACATTAGTGGATGCACTTCAACAACATTTTGCATGTCACTATTGACAGATTATGTGTCTAAGTGGGTTAATATGATCTTGCTTTCTTTATATTCTTTATCTTATCAGCCTTATGATTGCTTTTACTTTGGCACAGTCAAATTTGTATGAAATTGTCGTCATCCCAATTTGCGACCAAGGATTTCATTTCATAAGCGAAATTTCTGTGGTATTCCTCTAATGGCATCCGTTTTGATTTTTGCAGATGCAAACTATTCTAGATGAGATCGTTTTTGGTGGCCAGGTCCTTGAGACAAGTTCTGCAGAGGTAATGAAGGTTGCCGAAGAAATATCAAGGTGTGTCTCTCTCCCTCTCTCTCTCTCTCTCTCTCTCTCTCTGTGTATCTGCGCGTGCGCTCATGCGCCTGCCACATGTGCACATGTGCAGGTGTGTTTTGAGATGGATACATAGGCAGGTTCTTGCATGGAGAGATGCCGTTTCATTTTTTCACCCAGCATTTACAAGCTCTGCTTCTTCCCGTAGACGATAGGGATAGGTGGTAGTTTCAAACTGATAATGCTCACTTGTAAATGCAGGCTGGAAGCTGCCTCAAATGCTATCACACTTGTTCCCAAAACTGTTTCGAGTTGGCGGGGCCGGTAACACGTTATCTTCCAGATTGTGAAGTAGTTAAAATTAATGCTAACTCCACTTTTCCCTCTTCCTGCGAGTCGGTTAGAGCGTAACTCTAACTCCAAAAACAGATCCTGGAGGGACTCCATGGACATCACATGTTTAATGGAACAGTTTGTTTATTCTTTTCTCCTTATTGTTCTTTTGGATTTCCACATCTTTGTTCATTCCAGTTGTAATGAAAGTCAGAGACCCATGTGTATCTATGGTTTACTGTCATTTGTGGGCTTTTCGATATGGGATGGGAAAATGACAGAAATAGTCATTGTACTTTGGCTCAACGTGCAATATGGTGCTTGAATTTTTAATTTGTTCAATGTGGTTATTGAACTTTAGCCCAATGTGCAATGAGATCCCCGAATTTTTGATTTGTTCAATTCTCTCAATTTTTGGTATATGCTCAAGTTAGTCCCTATACTATATAAAAATATTAAATATTGTATCTGATTTTGAATTAATTGAAGGATTATATTGAATATTTTCATATAGTTTATGGATTATATTGAGCAAGTATCAAAAGTCCAGAGATCATATTGAACAATTTAAAAATTCAGGGACTACACCATATTGCACAATGAGTCAAAGTTTATGGACTATTTGTGTCATTATCCCATATGAGAATGATGCTATAATGGCTGATGTAGTTTAGCTCAGCCTCTAGCACCTTGCGGCTATACCCGATATAGGTGAATACACTACGCTTCTCGAACCTCCCATCTACTCTCGATCCATTTTGTTTCTACTTTTGCCGAGAGCATGCCATATCCAGCCTGTACAATCGAGTAGACAGAAAGAAGGTGCGCGCTCGCTCGATCCCTTCTTTCGAGGGATGCACATGCGTGATGGCGACTCTGAGTTCTGATTCGGACTCTGCAAAACCAGGTTGCTGTGTAAACAGGGGGAAAATTAAACAATTGAAGCAGGTGAAGTGGATCTATTCTTTCGACAATAAATAGATCTGTTTTCGTAATTATAAAACCCCAACATGCTAATAAACTAAGGAAACATCGTACTCAAAGATCCATGTTGATGATAGGAAGCGGAAGACTTTAACCGGAAGCAACTGGAACTGACCACCCTAATATGTCCTCAAACAATGTTTGTTTTTCAACCCCCTTATGTTTCCTATTGCCAATTCTCGATTAAAACATACTTTTAACACAGATTCTGCAGATTGTCTCCCAACTTGCACCGTCCATTTACTGTTCCTTTCCTCATCGTGACTTGACTCGCAGCCCTTCTATATCCCATTTCTTTCTTGCTTCACTGGCTTGCAAACACCGCGCCCCCTCACCCCTTCCTTCATTCTATCATCCTGATGGCATCGAATCCAGTTCCTTCGACCAGCTCCAGATCGACTTGGACGGCCGAGAAGAACAAGCTGTTCGAGAACGCCCTCGCGGTGTACGAAGAGGGCACGCCCGATCGATGGCAGAGGATCGCGAATGCGGTTGGGGGGAAGACATCTGTGGAGGAAGTGAAGGAGCACTACGAGATCCTCCAACATGACATCAACCTCATTGAGTCGGACAAAGTTCCTCTTCCACAGTACAAGCCATCCGAGGACAAGCTCAGCAATCAACACCTGAGGTAACAGTCCTATGGCTCTCCATGTGATGAGGCAATAGATCATAGAACTGAGTCCTGACTAAGTCCTTTGTGAAAGAACCGAGATTTATGACGTTATCATGCAACTTTCATAGAACGTTCAAACCGTATGGGAATTTCTTTCCCTGGTAAACAAATTTGCTTTCTCCTAAGAGAAGATCCTCGAGAGATTCAAGTCATGTGATCCTGAGTTCTTCTGGTTTCCGCCGTGCAGCTTGAAGCATTCGAACTTGTGAACCGAGAGAGAAGAAATGGACGCGGCGAGGACGAGCTGCGTCGCAACGCATCTTTCTCCTTGGATGATTCGCTAATCGGAGCTGCACTTGTGTAGATGATTTTGTCCACCAGATGTTCCGTTTGTTCTACTTCTTTTGATCTTTTCCCGTCCTCCTAATTCCTCAGTATTCATGCTAAGGAGCATGGGAACTGCATTGCTCTCTCTATGTTCATTAAGCTATGAAACTGATGAAGATCACGAATTTCCGCCATATTTAATCGAAAAGTATCAATTCTTTTAGCATAATAAATTTTATTTATGTATTTGCACTAATAAAACGGAATGTATTTATAACTTGAGTTATGTACTATGCACTAATAATCATTCGCAGCGGGGAAAGTTACTAACACTTGCAATACATTTGATTATAGTAATGGCTATTATATTACAAATTTATCATTGACGACCATCTTTACAGGGGAAAAGTACTAAAAAAGTTCTAAACTTATTGCATTGGTACTAATTTAATCCTAAACCTTTCAATTGAACCGACTTAGTCCTAAACCTTTTCACATTGGTACCAATTCAATCCATTTGGTCAATTTATGCTGGTAACCACTGACATAGACACCGGTTGTCCTACGTGGCACGACTGGTGCTGATGTGAATATTTTTATTGATAGTTAATAATTTTTTAAATTATATTATAATTTATTTTGTTTTATATTTTATTTTCCCTTCATTTTGGACCTCGCAGCCCTCACTCGTGGCCAGTGGGGCCACGAAGGCCTTGGGCGAGGGCACGAATCTGGGCGAGGGCTTGTTGGCCTAAATTTCTAATGATGCTCAGCTTTGATACAATTAAAATTTCAATCATACTATTAATAATATAACAAATAATATTTTTAGTAATAAAAAAAATTATGGTTAAATTAAGAGCATAACTATAACTTAATTGTTAAATGATAGATAAAATTTATATATAAGATTGTAAAATCTTGATGATACATATGATGTATTACACTCATGATTGATCATTATTATTATTTTTTTGGTAGAAAATCATGATTGATTATTAAACTGATAGTTATTATAACTATAATATTTAATTTACCATAATAACATGTTATGTGATTGGTTTGTAATTATAATCGCAAGTAAATATTTGACAAGTTAGATTGCGTATCACACAAATTATTTCGAGTATTAAACTCACGAATGATAATCGACCGTCATAGTGATAAATATAATATTCCCTTTCGTTCCGATTTTAGGTGTATTTTAGGAATTCTAATCCTATTCCTGTCTTTATTACAGATCTCATTCGTGAAATCGAACGGCGCAATAGGTATTACATTATTTAAACCAAAGGACGTGACGTGAATTAAAATTTATTACCTCACAGTATCACGGATATCATTCTGATTACCGACAGATTTGACAAGTTGTCGGCCGTCGTGAAAAGATTGCCGACAAACTATTGGTCGGCTCTTACTTTTTGTTTTTTGGTAGGAAAAGTTACTTTCTAAAGGCACGCCCGACTTATTATCAAACTCGATGTATTGATATGGTGAAAAGTTCGCACGTAACTAAAAAAGTTGGTGGTGTGATAATACACGTCGGGCTAACCCTAACCCTAATACAATCCGTACGAACATTTCCATGCGTGCTTATCATTAGCCTTGTCTGCTCTCGAAATGCTTTTTCAGGTTTTTACCCGAAACACGTGAGTCTCCACCACTCCCTCGACAATCAAGATTCTTGGGGTCGAGCGAGGGAGATGGGGTGATGCAGTAAAAGTCTTTCACTCTGACTGACACTGCACCAGCTTTTGGAAAACGTATGGTGACTGTTGGACTTGGCAAAACGCACGCAGCATCAGCGCATTGCACCTTCTCTTTCCGAGGAGGAGGAGGAAGAAGAAGCGGATGGCTTTGATGGAGTCACCTTTCAAGGTTCGTTTCGTTTCTCTCTCTCTCTGCTTCTCAAGAACTGCTTTGCGTCCTTTATTTTTGGAGTTTCTTGATGTGTCACATTTCGGATGTTACTCGGGCGTTCGGTGCAAGACCTTTTTATATGGTTGTTCTGGTTGTCGTCGTCGTCGTCGTCGTTGTTGTTGTTGGAGAGCAGATAATATTGGGTTCGTCGTCCGTGGCTCGCCGGCACATTCTGGCCAAGATGGGATACGACTTCACTGTCATGGTTCGTTTTCGCTTCGTTGATTGAGCGCAAGAGTCTCGAATTCGGTTGCGATTTCAGCTGTCTTGTGGGTTCGAAAATTAGAGCTCGGGTCATGGTTTCTTTAGACTGCAGACATAGACGAGAAGGCTATAAGGAAGGAGAAGCCTGAAGAGTTGGTCACGGCTTTAGCTGAGGCTAAGGTAATGGTCTTCTCTTCTCGAGAAAATCTTGTTCTGTTTGTGTTCTCCTCTTGCGCATTGGCTTTGTTTGTGTGCTGGAAACACTTTATGAGAAGTGCATTTTATGCTGTTGGAGCTCGGTAAGAAGCTCGTCCTCCTGAAATAAGAGCTTTTCAGCTTGAATGTTGTTTTCATGGTTGAATGTGATTTGATGTGGAGGTATGGTGGGGAACATGTAAAACAGGACTCGAGTCATTGGCAAGCACGTCTTAGCTTTTCTCCCTTTCCTTTTTTTTTTTTCATTTTGAAAATGAGGAAGCATGTTGATTGGGAAATGGTTTATATGATTTATTGTTATCAACAGTTAATTTGGTTAGTGGTTTAGCGATTCAGCTTGCCTCGATACTTCCATGAGCCATGAAAACTTAGTGATTCTGTGCTGGAACTTTGAAATGGCTGTCGTTCTTAGTTTCCCTGCATTGTGAAAATATACGATAAAGGACAATCCTTCGGTAGGCTGTAGATTCCCAGCAGAGGTCTTTACAAGTCAATTGCTTCATTTTGATGATTCGAGTAGTTGTCATTGGCTTTCATGGCCAGTATCTTTTGATTATTCAGCCGTTAAATTGACAATTAGTGAGGATGGGAATGTTTATCTGCATGACTAATTTAGACCTGATATTTTAGGCAGAAGCTATCCTCTCCAGGCTCCAGAACGTGGATTCTTTTGTGGAGGATGTCCATACAACCCTCTTAATTACTGCTGATACAGTTTGTTCTTTTACCTATATATTGTTACTCTTGTGGCCAGATGCAGTATTCAACATGCATCTGTGTTGTGCAGTCATGTGAAGGTTTATCCTTAAGTAAAGATTTCCTCCAATGTGCGTGCGCATAGTCCTCCACAGAAATCAGAATCGAGGAACTTAAAAGCGAAGTTATGGAATGCAGGAACTTGATTGTCTCTGTGTACCAGGGAGTAATGCTACCTAAGTAGGTGTTAGTGCCTTCAGTATGTCTTCAAGGGCCTTCCTCAAAGACAACCATCTAGACATGCCAACAGAACTTTAGTAGCCGGAAATCGCCTCTTTTCATAAAACTTTACTGTGGATAGTGGAGGCCCCTTTTAATATTCTTACCAAGAAACACGATGAGGAACAGATTTTGTCGTGAGCTTTTCTCTTGTAAAGAGAAAAATCTTCTAAAGAGTCACGAGTTTATTAAATCTGTCCATGCTGGTTTTTATAGCAACCTCTCCATCTCAACCTTTGAATATTATGCCTTTGACAACAGAATGATCTCATTTACGAAAACAGAAGAGATAGGCGTTGGTTTCTTTCCTTTATAGCAGTCTTTGCCGAGAGTTATTTCTTACTGATAGGCCTAATTGATTTGGAGGTGGTGGTACATGAAGGGAGGATCAGGGAAAAACCATCCAGTAAGGACGAAGCACGGCATTTTATTGAAGGTTTGCTACACTACATACTCTCACGATACCTTTAGAAAAATGAAATTCGCCTGAATTCTCATAGCTGTTTATGTTCCAGGGTACTCTGGTGGACGTGCAGAAGTAGTAGGATCTGTTCTCGTAACCAACCTGAAGACCGGAAGGAGGGAGGCGGGATGGGAGCGAGCAGAGGTACTGCATGCTCATCAATACTTGCCGAAGTTTAATTATCTAATGTTTCCGACTATTTACGGGCACATGGCATTCCAGTCTTCATGATTCTAGGAAGTGTATCAACTGGACCAAAAGCCACTATATTCTAGTTTAATCTACCGTGTTCATGTTGTGATGGGTGCTTTAGAGATTTCAAAGCCACATTGGCTCCCAAGGCTTAAGCACCTAATCATGTCTGCTAGTTTGACAGCGAACTGCCTTTGAGCTACACATTATCATAATAGTCCTGCTATCTTCAATTTCCCTTCTGACCTCTAGTTAAACAATTGCAAATCTTCTTGTTCTTTAATTAACTCGAAATGGTAGGTACAGCGAGAATGTGACAGGACTGACGTTATCTTTTCATGGACAGTTTATTTTTATGTTACCAAGTCATGTGTCACAATGTGGTTAATCTAAACCTCTTTTCTATGACTAGTATCTCGCTCGATGTATCATTGTTTTGAATCCAAGGACACGTGAGAAAGGTTTTTTCCTTTGGTTTAAAATATGCACAGCATTAGTAATTGAGTAGTTCTGCTTATTCGATTTTCCATTGAAGATGTGGCAAACTGTTGGGTGTCAAACAGGTATACTTTCATGACATACCAGCTCAGATTGTCCAGAGTCTGGTAAGTCCTCTTAACCGTGTTGGGGATCAGTGGACTACTTGTCATTGGCCTGTTTAAGTACTTACTGTCATTTGCTGCCTCAGATTGAAGAGGGAATTACACTCAATGTTGCTGGGGGTTTGATGCTCGAACATCCACTCACATCGCCTTTCGTAAAAGAAGTGGTCTCTCTCTCTCTCTCTCTCTCTCTCTCTCATTCCTCATCTGCCTAAGGTGCGAGATCACTTTATCGTCGCATAGGTGGAAACTTTGGACCGAGTATATAAACTGTCAAACCAGCATAGTCAATGCTGAGATATAGCCATCTTTTTGTTACAACTATGTAACTCCTGTGTTTCCTACAGATTGGGACTGCTGATACTGTAATGGGACTCCCTAAATCTCTCACAGAAAGACTCATCCAGGAGGCCCTAACTTGTCCTTAAAGCGAGGTTATGTGTGAACCCAGCATAAAAACGGCTGAAATCAGAATCCTCTGGCACCTTGTTCGTTGCTGGAGTTGACGTTAAATGTCGTCATGAGCCTGATGTAGTAACCCCACCAAGGCATCAAACACGGGATTGGGATAATTGCTGCCATCTGATTTCTGTTTTCGCGAGTTGCTAGCCATGATCATGGTTAGAAACAGCAAATCTTTCAGCCAGGCAGCTGTGTTGCACTTGTATCATTGCCAGGAAGATGAGAATGATGATTGAGCTAGATGGTATCATTATGTCTAAGAACGTGACAAGTTTTGCGCATTCATCACAAAATGTTGAGAATGAACACATCATAATTTCTAGATACTGTGTTCAGTGAGATACATTCTTGTTCAATTTTCATACTGCTAAGCAGATACTTTGCCTGAAAGGAAATGGATTGCCAAATCTGAATTTATCATGATGAATTTCTCAATTACTCATGGTACTTATTTAGGAGATCTACATTGATACCCGATGCTTGAATCAAGTTAAGCACTCAAGAAGATTCGAATGTAAAGTCAATATATGATCCACACAGCAGAATACTAGAAACCAAGCTCGAAAAAGAATGGCATGCCATTTCCTGTGTGCAAAAAGTGTAATCGAATAAAAATCAACCGTGCCAAAACTTTTACATACATTTGAAAGTTTGTTGTCAGGACACAAGTTACTTTCTACTCTCATGTATCACAACAACCAGCAGCCGCAAAATATCCTAGGTAAAGAAAGCCAGCCGAACAAAAATACACCACTCACCCAAGAAGACCTATTTCCTTTCATTCTTTGAGCAACGGCTTAACTATGTGGAGAATATGTTCGAGGGAATAAATGGAAAGTAAGTACAACATAGAAAATGCCCTGATCCAAGATCCTTGGAATTGAAGACCTTTCAGTTCATGAGGCTTGGAGCCTTGAGAAAATATACACTCCTCACGAAACCCTTCCCAACCTCACCGACAGTTTTTAGCATATCTACTGGGTCACTCCTTCCCTCACCTTCCTCATCTCGTGCCCGTTTCTGCAAATTGCAAAGGGAAATAGACCAGGTTAATGAAACAAAAAACTTACAGAAAATGAACAGGAAGGAATTGTTGCACCAGGATAAAATTCAGTGAAAAAAAGCCAAATGTACCAGCCCAGATCTTTCCCATGTGAGGCCTATTGCATCACCACCGAGAGAATCGTACCACAACTTGAATGTTTCCGGGAACTCTCTCTATGAAAATTAAATCACAACATGAGGAAAAAAATCCCTTGATGCACGATCCAAAATCAAGGCATTCAGAGTAGTTACCTGTAAGTCCTTGAGAAAACACTGCAAAGGATCAAAGTTGACCATAAGCTTATTTTTTATTTCTTCCAAGCTACCCTTCAAGTCTTTTGATGTCATGAAGGGGCGAAAAGCTTTACTAGCACTTCCTAGCGCTACAGTTCTCCCTGTCCAAAGTATAGCAGCGGTAAAGATTTGCATCAAAAGTAAAAAGAAAAGAGGAAGCACGGAGCAACTCAAATCCACCCAAGTACCTTCATTCATTTCAGACGGGAAAAGCAGATGTTGTGGGTAAGGCAGTTTATTCCTATGTAGAAGAATTATAGCATCATAGTTGCTCAAAGGAGTCCGGAAAAGGCACTACAGGGAAAATTTGCAACATATCATTGTTGGTGGAAATTAGTCAATCACAACAGTAAGCAGATACACAACTAAAAACATGAATAACTCACCTCCCATCTGTAAGTATTGATCTGATCATGCAATATTAGTTTGGTCAACAAATTTGCACTGCTTCTGGCATAAGCCACCAACCTTTTGAGTTCCTTTTTCCAATAATCATAAATTTACTGTCAGAAATACGTACCACAAGCAATAAAAATTAGCAGTCTCAAAGCACATTCAATGTGGAAAATTATCGGATTGCATATGGACAGGCTTTTTCCAAGTTTCTTTATATTTCCCCCTTCAGAATTTGCATTCAGAAACTTAAGGGTGAAGGTTTTGCCAGACAACCTCTATCCGCACTCCTTCCTCACCTATATGAACTTGGATGTCTTGATAGAAGAATCAATAATGAAAATAAAAACTAGAATTTCAGGAAAAGAAAAGTGGCAGGTTATTTAAGAGGATGGTCCATGATATGCACCAAATGGACAAAAAAATTATAGGAGCAGCATTTGCTTTATCAACCCTCACATTAACACCACCTCTAGCCTATTGTGTTCCCCATTCTTAAAACTCTAGCGATCCGATAGATGACGGAGAAACTACTCACCAGGAAATTGGGTGAGGATCTGGTCCAAGCTTCAGATGCCTTGTCATATGCTGTACCAATGAACATTGGAGGGTCTACAGCTAGTGGATTCTGGTCATAAATCTTTCTACTGGTCATGAAATTTTCCTAGAGAGTTTGTACATGACCAATGTTAGCAACAAAAGAACAAACACTTCATCAGAAAATTTCGACAGTCCCCATAATGAGCAATGCTTCGGACTCATCACTTACATTGATCTCTTTCTCATCATCTGGGCCCAAATCATTATTTATGTCAACAACTAAGGGAGAGAAGGTCCAATCATACTCCGACAGCAGCCTCAGAAACCTGTATTCCAAGTTTTCAGTGAAAATTTTACTTAACACTTTCCTGATTTCAAACAATACCCCACATCAACCAATTGGATTATACAACAAAAGACAAATTAATTTTGACAAATAGACTCGATCTTATCTGAGAGAGTGATGCAGCCCACAAGAATGGGCGCATCACCATTTGGGACTCATTACTATATCTGAGGGGTGCAAACAAGCATAACAAACTGGAGGAGAATAAATATAAAGTCAAATCGAGCTTCAGCATATTACAGCTTCACTTAACAGGTGATAGCATCAGCCTTACTAATTGGTATTTATATTAAGGAAATCCACAGCTTAACTACTATGTCCGCCAGCAAGAATGCGCCATCACTAACAGTACATGATAAAAAGAATGATAATAACTACAATCATCCAACAGCTTCCACGTATCAGCTTGCAAGCATTTGCATGCTAGGAGCTGCTGCTCCAACAGAAAGCCAGTAATAGCACCTTCACAGCTATAAGTGATTATCATAACCATCCAAGAAGGACATGGCATTGTCATTAAAGATCCTTTGAGATATACTCAATTCAATAAGTATGAAAGAACAATCTCTCTCACTATCTAGGAAGTGAGCTATGAGTATAGTAGTCAATCATGTGAAGAGTAAAAGTAGAATAACAGAAACAAGTGCAGATCGTTGGTTCACATGGTAGAAATCACTGAAATCTTTGATGAAGTTAAAGCAAAACTCAACCTCAAGAAGCCAGTGATTCGTGAGCAGGGAGCAGTAAATGGAAAAGGCTTCAGAAAGAGATACGTGACCAGTAGCTCAACTGACTCCTCCTTTAGGCAAGCTGAAAAGAGATGCGAAGCCACCCACCTTTTTGCAAGCCTTCATTACAGAACAAAGGTACACCCAAAATCAAAATACTGTAGCAACAAAAATAACCAACAGGGAAGACAAAATTGATCATCCGACCTGACAACTGGCCCATATAATTGATAACGACCCTGCAAGCCATTAATCATACTAGCATGCTGGCCACGTATGAAAAGTTTCTTGTCTACAGAAGAGGCTCGCTTCCCTTGATCACTTCCAACTGCAAATCAAGTGTGATAAAGTAAATAGTTCCTAAAACATAGAACAACAAACCAGCAATCACATTAGGAGAACTAGAACTTACTTTCTCTCTTCAACAAACTCAAGCCCCTCTCATGCAAGATTTTTAGACGAAAGGCAAATCCAGACATCAACACATCTACATCATCCTCACTTGCAGAACATGTCATTCCGTAACTATTCTGGAGACTGCAATATAGCACATAAAATCATAAGTTTCAAGATAATCAAATTTTGCAAAAAACTGAACTGAAATACCCACCTTTCTGCAATTTTAAGAAGAAAGGCAGTTTTAGTTTTCTCAACCGCTACATCATCCATTGGCCAATTCCCTGACCCTTCCAACTAATTAAGCCAATGCCAATAAGTCAGAGCACATAAATTCATCAGTGACATATCCTGAGAGCTGAAACGGATAAACATGCCTGAATCATAACTTCCAGGGGTTGAATGCACAATGGAATCTGCCTAACTTGTCTAGGGAGTTCACTCTTCTCAGCAATCAATGGATGAGGTTCCGGAGGAAAAACAGATGTGAACCTGAAAGCTGTGAACACAAGTAAGAACTGAACGGCTTTTTGCCCTCTCTTGGCTGCCAGGAAGAAAGTCTGGAGCAAAATAAGATCAACACCGCCTACATTCTGCTCACACCACCAACTTCAAAGAACCACACTTCATCTAACAAATCCAGCATTTGGTAGAATTCAAAATAAAAGGACGCAACCTAATATGACAGATTTCTAATTGTGAGTTGAAAAATAAATTCATAATAGGAGAAAAATTCTCTAAACTTCTTCAAAGAACTGAGGTGCTATTGCCTGTCTCTGGTCCTAGCACAAGATCTCTGATCTGTCTGCTTCTACATTCACAGATGAGCAGGAAGAACCTTAAAGTTGAATCAGCGTAAATGATGTCCTTCCTGTTGCATCTTACAGCGCACTTTTCATTTGGTTACATCCATATATTATTATGCGTCAAAAAGGAAAAAGATAGACTGATACATACCCAGAACAACCAAGTTCACAAAAGGGATGTCGACGCCATGAAAAAATAAATTGATGACAACGATAATCATGCATCTACAAACTGTACTAAGTCCTGAGGAAAGAGACTGTACCTGAGTCCAGAGGCTGTACACTAGAGACCTTTAAAGGGATATCTTGAATGAGGCGCAAGCGCTTAGACAAAACCTCAAATGCTCGAATTAAGTACCCAGAAAATGCCATGGGATCTAACCAATTTAACATTGTAAGTCCAATAAACACATTTTTGAAGAAAGAAAAAAGTATCACAAGCAGAACTTTGAGAAAAGAAAATCCAAGCAATCATAAGGAAGAGGCAAAGCTACCTTCAACACCATGAAGCAAACAAAAGTCAAGCTGATCAACATAATGTACTATGTTTTCATTTGAGAGAGAGAAATGTTGTGTGAGGACATATTCCACAATCCTTTTTATAATGAGATGTCTCGTCCACGGTTGACAATCCCATACTGCAAAACGAAAAGGTGCCAATTGTTGATCATCGAGGCAAAGGAATCGCTTTCAGATGCTTTTACCCACAGAAAATACAAAATTGCCTTACCTGTGCTTTCTGCAATTGTGCCATCCTTAAATCTCCGAAGCTCTGCTCTCTCCCCCCAGAACTTCCGGAACTTGAGGGCCTAGCAAACAAGTAAAATGGAGTCTATAGTTGAATAACGAGAGCTTTCTCGCATTAACATGAGAAAAAAAACAGATGAGATACCTCCTCCTTGTTCTCAGCATTAGAACCTATGTCAACCACTCTAAAAGCTTTATCTGGGGAGCTTATAGAAATTCCAACAAACAATGGCTCTTTACCAAGTGTTGATAAACCCTGGAATCATAACATACAGGGAGATGTCCACAAAAAAAGCTTATTGAATTCAAATGGAGATGATTAAAGGACTTCATTAGGACACAAGAAAAAAAGAAAATCCAGTTAATACATTTTCTATACTATATTCAGAAGGGGTATTTTTCCACGCAACACGAACAATCTTTGCTCGATCGCTCAGTCCTTGATGTAGAACTGATTGCATCTTTTGTTCATACAGTCTCCAGCATTCCTTGTCCAAGCAAAAGCCAGATGCAGATACTTCTTTATTTTCCTTCAAGTTAATCCTAGAGACCAAATATGTGAAAGCTATTAGTGGGGAAAGACCATAAATGTTTATGAGCAAATCCCATTGCTGATGATAAAAGGACCCAGAAATCATAAGAATCATTCTATACCACTGACGGTCAGATTGGAAAAATGAAAGAAAGACTGTAAAAGTGATTTTTTCCATCAGTTTCATGATAGTACAATAATGGTTTTCCAGTATATAATTCTACAGTTCAGCTATTCTCATCTCACGATCTGCCAGTTGATTTGACTTGCTGGCTGATTACATTAGCATATATCTCAAGCTGGAATCAAGATCAACTCAAACTTGATCGCATTTGTGGAACTTATATGCATTTGTTGTCATGCATGTAAATTATGTCACAACAAATAAATAAGAAGTTAACTACTCGATTCTGCAAGCAAGCCACCTAAATCAAGTTGTTATTTCAACTAGAATCAAACTCCATAACCAATAAAAGTCACCCAAGCTGAGTTTCCGACGAAAAGTGCCCAAGTAAGACTCCTAGAAGCACCACTGGCTTTGCACACAAACCCACCCCCCCCCCCCCCCCCCCCCTCAACACACACAAGAACAGATGCATCTGCATCTGCATCCCCAAAGAAAAGCATACAAATTCTAGTTTCCAAAAGTGTGGTTCTCAACTTCAAAAGAAAGAAAAACAGGCCAGCTTTATGCTCTGCGAAGCAATTATGGTGCTTTCATCTATTAATGAAATTGCTTTTTAATGCCTTGATTTTTCTTGGCAGTTACAGTAGATATTTGTTGGTAACGGGATTTGGCTCCCCCGCCCCCACCTTCCCCACCATGTCAACTACTTGGCCGATGCACGGTGGTTGAATGCCTTAAATGTGGTAAAATAAAAATATGGTGGAGTAGGTAGAACAGTACATGCGTACGTAACATACGACACTCACGTTTTCCAATGGGAAGATTCATCAATTCTGTGGAAAGCTTCTAAGTATTATCAGCTGTTTACAGGGATTAGTTAGTAAACAGTTCACTGGACTGCTCCAGTAATGTCCAATACTAGAAGCAGATGGTCCTTGATGACGATTGGGCTGGATTTAGGATCAGATACAGGAATTGCTAAGACATTTGACTGGCCCAAATTTCACATTTGATAACATAAGAGCACGGCCCCAAAGGACATGCAAACATGATCATGCCTCATATATCTGAAAATCAGAAATTGTACTAAATCAAGAATTAACATCAAGTTCCAAGGGAAATAACAGGACTTTATCTTCATCAGAATTGAGGTATCTTTTTCCATGTTTGTGCTATGTCATGGGCAAAGAGTCCTAAGACTTGAACCTAAACTCCATATCGCTAAAGGTTGGTTGGTACCCCTCGGCCAGACTCTTGTCTTCATAACTAAAAGTTAAGCATCTAAGCTGCTTGTTGCACATTTTTCTTGCTGTCGCTAATCTATGAAATGTTGGCCATAAGGAACTTATATGTAGTGGTTTATTTGAAGTTCCATGCTCTACTTCAGTAATAGCCTACACAGATTTGATTTTTTTTTTCTTGTATTTCTGTCAGAAAAGCACGCGATATTCACTCTTCATTTATTCAAAAATAAAAGCAAGGGCATCACAAAAGCAGATAATTTGGCATATATCTTATCATGAAGAGAAGGAGCCACCAATATTTTGCAGAAACAAAATGCGGTCATGCTAGTAGAGAAGGCTCAATAGCGCCATATGGCTTACCTTAAGCATAGATCATATTTAGCAGGAAAGTCGACCTTGGTAATAAAGATCTCCTCGAATCCACCATCTTTACACTTCTCCATGCACTTAAGGGTCAAAGCAGCCTCATATTGGAGCTGGAGCTCAATAAAAGACATAGCAATTAGCAAAAATTTAGGCTGAGAAATAAAAGAAAGCTAACATGTGATGCAAACAACAAATCAAAACAAGATTTATTACCTCAAGGAAACCATTGTCTGATATGCGGAAAGCCAAATTAAAATAAGCAGATATATTGCATATAACTACCGGGAAAAGATTCATATATTGCGTCCTTTCCTGCATCCATAAACACTAGGTGCATGTTAAGCCACAGGCACCGAAAAACGAATGCACAGGCCAAAGATATCAAGAAGGAACTCAAAATGACATCAGTGACTGCTTATTGGACTACACTCCTAGAATGAAATCGACCACCTCGTTACATCATGTCTGACGAGAAAAGACAAACTATGTTTCCATTAGCAGAAGGGCACCTTAATTAGACTTCAACCTCTCTCTCTCCCCCTATTCACCCCCTCCCCCCCCCCCAAAAAAAAAGAAAAAGCAATTTGCAAAAAGAGATGACATGCAATATCAAAGGGACATAACATAAGGACCACAAGAGGAAATCACACCTCCTTCAATATACCATTCTCTCCCTCTCCTTGAAAGAAAAGTCCACGCTTCCATAGTTTTGAATTGGCTGCAATAAATTAAACTGTAAGAACTCAACCATGGTATTAGAATGTACCGACAGAATAAAATTTCTTGGCCGCCAAATGGACTCACAACAGGAAATAAAGTGTCTAATGTAAAAACCGAACATCAATTTCAAAAAACAGCTGATTTTAATAGCTGCTTACGGTAAACCCAAAAATGTATTGACCGCACAACCTACATCCTCAACTTTCAAAACTTATGATACTCTACTAGATTTACCAAATCTGAGATTTGCTTCCCTCAAGTTCAAGCTCTCATGTCAGGTGATTGCACAGATGGGGATCATTGTAGGGCAATTCTCCATTGAGGTCAAAGCTGTCTAAGGATAAGAAAACCACTGTGATGGTTTGTGACTTTCGATATGGATCTCCACTTTACAATGTGAAGAATCATCCTTTCTGTCACTCCTTGTGTATCCTGAGATTCGTAGTAGCACTTGATAGCTTCAGGCACCTGCTTAGTTATTGTTCTATGGTTTCCGACTGTCCGTGAAGAGTGCTCCTTCGGTTACATTTTCTCACAGAAAGTTGAAGGTGATCGATAAGATATTCTACAATGTCTTTGACTAAATTTTGCTCTCTATAAAATCTACTAATATCACTTCATCTTCTCGATAATGGTTACATCTCGGAATAGATTGACAAGCAACTCACAGAAACTCTTTTTCCCAAGCTAGCCAGAAGCTTGATTAGTTCACAATACGTTAATGATAGACAATTAGAGGGAAGAGAGCAATATTAACATACCAATGAAGTCAAGTGTAATGCGGAATATCTGCATTGCTTTCAGTGAATTGTTAACCTTGCCAGCGCTTACAAGGTATGACATGATGACAGAGATTAAAAATCCATTTAAACAATCGTGAATGTACAAGGAACTCCTCTGCCGGGCCCAGACCTGTGGATAGAAGCATTATGCATTATTTCATCCCCCAGTAAATTATTCAACAACATTAATTCACCAAAATTTTCTAGAGTCATACTTTGAGCAAAATTACTGCCTCCCTTAATTCCTTACATCCAACAAGCGTTTTGTTTAGTAACTCTACATTATTCTCCATAAACATGTCCTCCAATATACTAGTATTGTATGTTGGTGTAGCTTGAGCAGTACCTTTTAAGAAGAAAGCAACATGTCAGTTTCAGTAAACACAATACGATACCACATAGAATCTGCGTTTAAGGCAAAATACAACCTTGATTTAGAGCACGGATGTTGCTGCGGTTCAAGTTCAACTTTGAAATATTGAATAAGGATTTGGCGGTTGGAATTATTCGAACAATTAATCCAGGAACTTCAACAGGCTTTGCAGCTAAGACACAAAGATGGAATTGACAATTCAACATGTGTTTCTAAAGTCATAACAATATCAAAGCCACAAACTAATGATCAGGCTCCTTTGGAAAAGTGCAAATAAAGCTGATGCAGAAAAGGAAATCCAACCTGGATGGACTACTAACACGGGTTTTCGAGCCTCATTTTGGAGGAAGGACCACTCAACCTTACTGACTGATTTAGAGAACTTCAAATATTTTTTTATTGTGCAGAGGTATAAGCTTCGTTTGGCAAAGTACCGATGATCCAGATAATCTTTCTCATGGAAACATTCCTGTAGATAAAAGGTTCGAATCATAGACAGAACATACATGGACAATTCAACTAGGAATGACCAGAAAAGTTAGACAAAATGGTGCGAAGCCATCATCTGAAATAGACAATGGCCAAAGCTCAATGAGATTAGTATTCATAACTTGTGTCTTCCCTAAGGGAAAGCATCAAAACCAGATACCCAAGTGCATAAGATCAACCACTGTAGCTTGATAATGACACCTTGTTTTTTGTGCGCATGGACGAGCACTTCACCAACTACGAAGGAGATGCACGACCTTTTAGATTATTTTCTAATCTCTATGTAACATAATCGATCTCTTCTATGCCATTGCCTAGGTGATGCATACAAGTTGAAACTGAGCAGTTCTGTTTTAAGTAGTGATGAAGTGCAAGTTGACACAAACTAAACGAAAGGGATCCGTTCACCAAAGACCCTAAACTGCACAAGATTCAACCAAGTATCCACCCTGTCCGCATAGAAGTTGGGGCAACAAGAGACTCCATGTAAATTACAATTGGTGAAGTCCAGTATCAATTGTCCAAAACAATCCCCACCAATTAAAACATGCTCCCAATTGGCCCACACTCCATTCCAACAAACTCGAAAGGCATTGAGGAAATCACCCAGAGAAGTAGTACCTTTGGCAACCCAACGAAAAGGTCTATATTCACGTCAGGCTTTGCGATGCAATGTGTAGCATAGCTGCCCCCAACGTTAATAGATGTCGGCTTCTTGAACTTGAACTCGACTTTATCCACCCCGACGTCTCTCACAAAAGCCGGCGCCAAGTCCGCCTTGACCTGCGCAAGTTTCACCGAAACTAATGACCGCTCTGCCCGAGTCAAAAAACGATATTCGTGCCACATTTACTTTTCCTTGCTTTGATTTTTCTTTCATCCAGCAAGTCATACAAAGCGAAACACTCGGCCGTAGCCAAGAATCAGGCCACGCAAAAAAAAATCGAAAAAAACCCGCCTGAGCATTTGAATTCTGCTATGCTCCGAGAACGGAGAGCTACAAAAAAGTTCGGACTTTTGGCATCGTAAGCTAGAATTCAATGCCGAGCTCCAATTCGTTCTTCTTTTGCCGCAACCAAACTATAAAAACTGAACTTCTAGCAAAAGTATGAACTTTTACGGCTGGAAAACACAAGTCGAACCTGCAAGTCATCAGGAATCTTGGCGATGGCGTCTTTGATGGCGGACACCGCGTCGTCGACGAGCTCGGTGAACGACGGCGAGTACTCCACCGCCACTTCCTTCAGCAGCTCTTTGACCTTCAAGTCGATCGGGTCGGTCGACGAATCGACCTCCATTTCTGCCGCTTTTTCCGGCTTCTCGAGCTTCCAAGTTTTGCCCGAGAGATTGTTACTGAAATTGCCGGAAGCTAAGAACGGAGGAACGCGGGGGTTTTAGCCGGCGTTGTTAGGGTTTAACAGGCACAGCGACGCATTAGCGGGAGGAGGAGGAGGAGGATGGAGGAAGGAGATGCAGGAGAGGAAGAATGAATTGGGCCCAAAGTAAACCTTATTTGAAAGCCCAATAAGTGTAGATGGAATGTGGGCTAAAAGCCCAATTTATTTTCATTTTTCTTGGCAAGAAAGGATCCGTTTATTTCGGTACAAAATCGAATGATTTGGAGAACATTTTTTTAAAAAATGATCGCTTGTATCAATTATAAAAATAAATGAGCAAAAAATATTCTTATCATCCACAGAAATATTTAGACATGAATTATTATCGTTGATGAAAATATTTTTATTGACTAATTATTTCAAGCGATACAAGCAATCATTTTTAGGAAAAATTTTCCAAATCATTCATTTTCCGAGAAAAAAACGGACCCTTATTGTTATGATCTAGTAATGCACAAGTACTCCTTGATCAAATTGGAAAAATGGGCCGAACCTTTCATCCTAAGAAAACCAAAATCAATGGGAAAAATCATTTCTAGGCATACGCTCGCCCTTCGAATTTTCAATTTTTCTATATGCCTAGTGTTGAGGTTGTCCCATATCGCTTGTGGAAGGAGCTAGTAATTAGTTTATAAGTGCGAGGGAAAGTTTCACCATTTAAGCTAGCTTTTGCGGTGAGAGAGGCGCAAGACCATTGACACTTAGGAGGCATCATCGTCACAGGCTATCGATTTCTTGGACTTTGAAATGTTTAATAATTTGAGTTTTGACTTACCGAACTCCTCGAATCTCTAGAGAAAGACCATACATTCGATTTAAGGTAATTTCTCATTATTGAAATTCTTTCATGTTTTGTTAAAAGTACAATATTTCTTTTTCATTTTGACGAGAAAGACGACATTGAGTTTTTGGTATCAAATGCAAAGTATCTTATATTTAGATAACACCTAGCCGATTTTTTTTGCCCGCGTGTTACCTTATTCATGAGATTAGCAAGGCTAGTTCCTAGAATAGAGGTTTGCTTACCTAGAGTTCGTTTTGTTGTCGTTCAAAGCGAAATGTAGAAGAGGTTGCAATCCCTTATAACTCTCATGTCCCTGCCAACGGTTGATAGTTGATACTTGCCATGTGAGCTTTGTGTGTGCCATGGAGGACAATTGTGTGCATTACAGTACGCACGTGGTTTCCCAATCAACAAGAGCAACAAATAAACTCCTTGCATCAAATTTCAATTGCAGAAGAAAAACAGGAGACCCCTTTGGCTTCGTCATCTCGAGTATCAAGCCGCTTGCTAATTCTGCCGATACTATGATTTGTTGTATGCTCATACTGCATATCTTGGTACATTTTGCGAGTTCTTAAGTAAATGAGGTTCGAAAACATGAAAAACATATCCAAATCTCTGTTGAGGAGAAGGTCAATAAACAATTGCGAGCTCTCACTCTCTCTCTCTGTGTCCGTGTTATTGAGCAGCAAAAATCAATGTGACAACAGGAGGCAAAAATCATCTGAACGACGACTGAATCTCTTCCAGAGTCCTTCCCTTAGTTTCTGGAACAAAGAGTACCACAAAGACAACGGAACAGGCAGCCACAACTGCGTAGATTGTGAAGGTACCTGTAGAAAATTGCAAAAGGCTATATCAGTCAGGTCAGCAACAAGTGTTAAGCATGACAGAGCGTGTTGCAGGGGAGAGGGAGAGCGAACCTCCGGTGCTCCAATCCAACAGTAAGTTTGCGGTCATTGTGACTACCCACGATGTTGTCCAGTTTGCCAACACTGCTATGCTGCCGGCAAGGCCCTTAATATTTATCGGAAGAATCTGACGTTCAAAATGAATTAATATTCGAGTTAATATACGTGAATCACAAGATGCTAGGACATATTCTCCGTAATTTTTTTTATTGTGACTATGGATTTGTGCGAGGAAAAAAAATGACATTTTGAGCCCATCAAGTTCTATGGATTTGTTCAAGAAAAAAAAAGTTCTGTGGATTTGTTGGACTGCCAATTTGTTAAGTTGGAAATGATGTTGACGCACAAGACTGAAAAAATTCTTTGCCATGGAATCTTTGGGAAAAATAAGTACATTCTGAAACCTGAAGGAGAATTCTCTACTCTTGGATTTAGTGAAAAATAAGTAAATTGTGCTTACCTCAGACATGATAATCCATGGAATAGCTCCCATTCCCAGAGAGAAGCCAACAACAAAAGCCTGGATATAATGATGGTCAAAACATACCCTTAAAACTTATTAAGCACATGAATAAGTACAAACAGTAAGTATAAATTGTCATACCACAACCCCAACCAGGGCCAATATTCCCATTATGTCGTATAACGTAGAGTCTTCTGAAGCAGAACTCTGGAATATGGAAGAACAATGCCTCAGAAAAGCAGATATTGCATCAGAAAATAAAGGATTGTACTACCAGCATTACTGACCTCTATATAAAACGCTACAGCCACAAAAACAAGGCTCAAAGTCATTGCGGATGAGGATACCTGCAACAACGATTTAGATACCAAATTTAAGCATGTTTTAGAGAATCTCAACTTTAGAAAGAATTTAGTCATACGCACTATTAGAAGCAGCCTTCGGCCTGCTTTATCCAGGAGCCAAGTGGTAACCCCAGTGGCAAGAACCTACAGCATGAAAGGTCCTTAACATCAGATTAGGTCAAAAGTATTTTGTATTGTTTAACTGCTGCAAAAGGCCACCAACCAAATTACCTGGATAACACCAACTCCAACACTTGCAACATTACTTGAAGAAATCCCTATTCAAAATAAATGCACATTAATGGGAGATCCTAATCAACCAAGAGAAGCTCTAGTGGGTTATATCAGTCAACAGATGCTATCAGAACAACAGCAAGTATCAGTATGCCTTTGCTCATCGGGACCAAAGCAGAATCTAAAAGAAATTTCTTATATTTTAGCAGGGTTCTAGAATCTGCCAGTACCATCCTCCAGGGAATGAAACAGGCCAATTGGTTGAACTATTGTTAATTACATCAATCAATTCTTTCACTACTCATGCATAGCTCAAGCTTAGGACGTTCTGCTTTTTTCCAACTTCAATCGACAGTCGTCTATTCAAGTCTATTTAAATAGCAAAAGAAAACATTCAATTATCAATCTGTTTAAATAAACCTACTTAATGTGACATCAGCATCCTCAATTAGAAAAATGGACAGACAAAAGAATTTCTCTAGGGAGAAGAGCATAGTTAATAGATTTTGGCTTAGTGCTTAACAATAAGTAACATTGAAGAAGGAGAAAGATTTAAAGTTGCAGGTTCTAATAAATTCACTTCGGCTCTCTAATTAAATGAAATATAGGCTGCAATGCAACCCAATCAGTCGCCACCTGCAGTTTCAAATATTGTGGTGGAATAGAATAAAACACCATTGATGCCACTGAGTTGCTGGAGCACAAGAAGTCCGATTCCTACCTGCAACACATACATTTGACACAAGAAAGGACAAGATGTCAAGGTACGAGATGATGAAGTTCAAGTTAGATTCAAGTGAAACATTTACCATTAAAGGAAACCAATATCTTTTCCGCTTGAGCTCTGCAAACCTGATCATTGTTCTTTTGCTTGTTGATGCAACAGATCTCTACGTGAAGTATATAACTCATTATAATTGAAACAACTTTGTAAAGGGAGGAACTGAAACATATGTAGATCGATTATCTATGATAGCTAACTATCTTAAGTTCTTTTGCAGTAGAAAAGGCTGAAAGAACTGCATGAATGACATATATCCATTATATCACCCCATTCAAGTTGGAAAGATTTTCAATACCTTGATTTCATTAACTTCAAGGGAAATATCAGTATCATATCCCCGTAGGACCTGCAAAGAGGCTTCAAAGTCCTCTGTCAAACCCATTTTGGCCTGCAGCATTTTCCATTTTGAAGAACATAAAACAGAAGAGAAACATAAGAAAGCAGGGAATGAAGAAATGAGAGCAGTAAGTTAATAAAGGGGTTGGTTTAATACAGAATAGACCACATCAGGTTTCATACCAACCATCGAGGAGACTCTGGGATGAAAAATAAGGCAGGAATCAATATTAGACATGGAAGAGACCCTGTAAAAGATGTTCAAAATCATCAATATCAAAGAAAATAACCAGAAATAAGTGAGTTGAGTGTCACCAAATTAAAGGCATTACAAAATTGATCAGTGTACTTGGCCAATGAACTTATATAAGAAACACCAGCATCGTAAAGCAAATGGGCCTTTTCTTCTGTATATATCGGGGAGAGTTAAGATCAAAATTAAGTAATAAAAATCGATGTGGGTATTACAAATGTCCGAAAGCTTTTTAAGTTGTTAGCCAAAAAAAAAAGGGCTTTTTTTATGTTGGAATTCTTGTAAGTGCGTCTGAAGTTTAGTACATCCAGCATCATACACCTCTCTTTCAATAGAAGATTTTCTCTTCATGGACTTACCCAAGATAGCAAGGATCCTCCAGTTGAGAAATAGTCCGAAAAAGTAAGCCATCAAAAGTCCCGTTGTAATTGAGAGCTACTAAAAGAAAAGGAAATGAAACAATTTCCATGATTTTGTTAAAACTACGTCAAAGTTATTAAAAGAAAATGTATCACATCAAGCAGACAAGTTTAAGTGGTAGGCGTATTGACCTGATTCACAGATCCCAGGGTTCCTCTCATGTTCTGAGGCGATATCTCAGCTATATATACTGGCACCTATATATACCAAGAAGGTCCAGAATTGAGATTTGTCACACTGCAGCCAAGTGCTAGTGCAAAGGGCTTGATAAAAAAATAAGTTTTCGAAAGATTACCGTATAAGAAATTACACCCACACCAAATCCCGACAACAACCTTCCCATGTATAAGAATGAGGAATCCTACAGAAGCAGCCAAGTAGTACATAAGGATGCTGCTGTGGTCAATTGAGTTTCAATGAATTATCTGAGCATAATGATCCTCACCTTGGCAAAGGATATTATCAGCCACCCTATAACATTAGGGACTGCAGCGATCATCAGAGACTGCAGTCAAACATGGTTAGGAATTAACAGTGTCCCCACAAGAATCACAGAACACATAACAAAAGAAATCATAACTATGTTTGTTTTGGACATTCAGAAGGAACAGGTCAGCCCAGCAAAGCAAGAAATCAGCAATAAAGTTCCAGCATGATAATATCTTGTTAGATTGTACTGTTATTCATTCACCATATGCAGCAGTTTGTTTTAAGCGGTGAATCACATCGCCAGCTTCACCCATTATAAGCAATAGAAACCTAGTGAAGCTTTAGAGCCTCACGATGAAAAGCCAAAAGCCATGGAAAAAGCATGGGGGGTGGGGACCCCAACTTCTCGACCGCTACTTATATAGCTTTCTAACGAAAGGCACTCAAATGACTCCAAAAGCTCCATCAAATTAAAAACGAAAATTACTCCAAACCGAGCATCTTATGTTTTTTCTTTCAGGATATGTTGGCTGTTCAGTGCAGAAAATTTCCAAAAATCAGTCACATTATCCAAACAAAAGTTTCAGCAGAGGAGCTAAAAACCAAAAGAACTAAAAGCTACCCTGAAATTGCTTAGAATTGACTAAGACGAATGATACTACAAACTCCAACGAAAATGACAGCTGATCGAAATGAGTGGCATACCCCTTTCCGACCGATGTACTCCGCCATCTGGCCACTCGTGATTGCCCCGATCATACCTCCCACATTCACCAACGAGCCGAATATCGAATACTATATCCAGCATCATGCCACAACCAAGAAGAAATTGCATCGGTTAACAATCAAAAAAGCAGATTCAAAACCGAAACAGAAAGATTTAGATTTCAGTTCCCGAAGCAAGCCGAACCTGCGAGAGCGAAAGGCTTAGGTCGCTCATTATGTCCTCCTCCGTAGGAGACGAATATCCACACTGAAAGCCGAAAACAGGCATAAGATTTGCACAATCACAAAATTCGCTGACAGATATATCACACATACGTAGACAGACAGGCGGACGGACGGACGGAAGAAAGACACATTGTGCAAATTCGGGCTTACGCTGAATCCGAACTGGATAGGGCCCAGGGCGACGATCAGGACGCAGAGGAGGACGGAGACGGAGCCGTCGCGGAGGATCTGCGCCGATGCGGTGGCACTGGATTGCCTCGACCCCATCCCCTGCATCTTGTACCAGCTCCCCGTGTGGAGGAACGGCTTCCTCAGCTCCTTATCGTCCTCGGCGTCCTCAATGGCGCTCATCTTGACGCTCGAAGCCGGAGCTCCACCAGAAGATGTTGCCGCCGCCGCCGCCGCTTCGTCTTCCTCCTCCTCAAGCTCGAGCGAGGGAGGGAGCGATGCGGAGCGCGTGATCTTGAATCTTCAAAGATGGCCGAATCGCCACTGATGATGATTGACTGTTGGCGTTGAAGAAGGAGGAGGAGAAGAAGAAGGTGGTGGCGCAAGTAGGTGACCGGCTGCGACGCCAGAGGTGGCGCATCTATTCAATTTAAAAAAACACGTGTCTGCTGCGACGATGTCGACCGCACTTGTCCGACGTGTCCCTTTTTTTTTTTTTTTGTCTTTTTCTTGCTTTTGGTATTTATTTACCAAAAATATGGTAAAAGAAAATGGCCTTTAAATGATTCTTACATGAGCATGTTTCGATTTTCCTAGGAAAGAAAAAATTGCAAATTTTTACCCTTGGTTTCGAAATTTAAAATGGGTTCAAAGTTTAAAAGATCATTGGAAAGTTTATGTATAAATCTACAAGTCACTGCATATTTAGATATATGATATTTTATTCAATTAAATAATGGACAAATTTCAAGAGCAGTTAGATTCAACATGAAGTCTTATTGGACAGATGTTTTGTAGAGGTGAAATAGAGTTGGACTTTTTCGCAAGTAGCTCGAGCTCCACTTGATGTTTATTCGCGATCGACTCCTCTGATGTTGAATCGAGCTCGAACTCGAACTCGAGGTGCTCGAGTATCTGGTCAAGCTAAGATCGGGCTAGCCAACACTCAATTTGACAGGCTTGCTTAATCTAATTCAAGCTTAATCAAGCATGTACTATTTCTCTTAAAAGTGTTCTTTAGGTATAAAGAAAGACATGAAAAATCCTTGAATTTACATGATATAGTTACGCATACAAATGAATACACATACATCTCGGGAAAACATTCAAGCTTATTAAGTTCGAAGAACAAGAGCTCGAGTTCCCTTACAACTCAATTGTAATGGAGTTATGAGAAATAAGCTCAAATATCTTGCTTTTCTATAAGTTCTTATCCAATATGGAATGGTTGAGTATTTTTTGGAAAGTTTGGACGATATAATTTGTAAGATTTAAGTTTTTCCTTAAATAGTTATCTCTGAATAAATTTAAGGAAGCCCTTCCATACTTGCCAACCGCATGAATTGATTTTTAACTTAGAACAGCCAGTTAACTTCCGACTAGTTATGGTTTATCAAACACACCTAAGATTTAAAAAGAGTGCTACAAATGTTGAAAAAGATTAAGCAAATTGCAACATCAAATCTTTACTGGACCGAAAAGAACGATAATGTTATGATTGTAAAATCTTTTTTGTCCCAAGGCAACACACGACGGTGAAAAAATTTATTAAACATGACTTTTCATGTCATGCATGTTCTTTTCTTTTTTTCCCAATTTTGGAATATCTCAAAAAAGTTGTTGTCAATTTGTTTTTTTTTTATTTGTACCGGGAGGACATCTTAGACCTTTTCATTGAACACATTAATATTATTTTCTGAGATAGATCCACAGAAGAGAAATTTAAAAAAAATTAAAAATTAAAAACAGGAAGAAAGGAGGCAGTGCTCAATAGTTTAGATTAGGGTTAATACCACAAAAAATCATAAACTGGTATACCCATGACAGTTTTACCCTAAACTAATTTTTTGACAACGAAAAATCCTAAACTGTCAGTGACAATTTTAACACAAACTAATTTTTTCATCACAAAAAATCCACAAACTGGTACACATGTGACAAATTTACCCCACATTAATTTTTTTAACCATAAAAAATCATAAACTGGTAATTCCGTGACAAATTTACCCTCCGTTAGAGGATCAGTTTGGGGTTTTTCGTTGTATTTACCCCATGGATTTCCACGTGGATTTGCTATGTCACTGTACCACATCACCATGTGTCATCCACATTACCAAACTTATCAGTAAAATTTAACGGAAATTAACGGAGGGTAAATTTATTACACGTGTAACAGTTTGGAATTTTTCTTGGTAAAAAAATTAGTTCGAGATAAAATTATCACAAGTGTAATAACTCGGATTTTTCGTGGTTAAAAAATTAGTTTTGAGTAAAATTGTCATAGGTGTACTGGTTTGGAGTTTTTCGTGATCAAAAAATTAATTTGGAGTTAAATTATCACATGTATATCAGTTTTGAGTTTTTTGTGATATTAACCCTTTAGATTATTTAGATATGTATATTGACTATTTGAAGACTAATTAGGGATGCCAGATATAGAAACAAAATGATTAGCTGCCGGAAATTAGTTTTTAATTGCTTTTTTTTTTGGGTCGAAATTTGCAGTTGAATAATATATATATGAAGATGGACTTTTCACCAAAAACAAAGAGAGAATCAAAGAAGATCATCATCGACTGGTCAGCGATGCAGCTGTACCTCTCAAATCATGACCTGTTTTGCCAGTGACTTTGAAGTTTAGTTGAGGACAATAATCGCTGGAATGTGGGGCCAAATTGTTGTGCTTCCTTACGTGCAATCCTGATACATTTTGTTTCCTCTTCTTAAAAACCCTAATGGTGCTTTACTTCCGAAAAGCGAGAGAGCCGTCTTCTTCTTAGGTCAGATTGCTTCGATCGGATAAGCACGTCAACGAGCTCAAATAAGTCGGAGTGGAAAGTGAGAGCGCGTGTCGGAGAAAGCCGTGATCCCTGGCTTCGGTTGTCGGATATTCAATTGGCTCACTATTTGAGAGAGTCCGATAAAGTAGCTAAGTGGGTTACGAAAATGGACAGCCTCTCCACGCAAATTCTCTGGGATTTGTTATATTTAAAAACGTCGTACGTCTTCTATGTATTCTTCATGTGTACCTAAATCTCATTCCCGACCAAAAAAAAAAAAAGAGTTTGAATGAGGTGAATTCTATGAGAGACTCACCTGATTTAAAATCCAGTGTTCATTGTTTAAATAGATCTAATGTACCTAACAATAGCTTGACTCGAAGTACATTACGGAATATCGAATGTTCTCTCTCAGAGAAAAACTGATAAATCGAAACTCTTAATCTCCTTTCGTTTTATGGAAAATAATTTCCTAGAAAACATTTTTCGGACTTTCGGCCTTCATTTCATGAAAAATAAACTAATAATGAAAAACATTTTTCACCAATGGAAAAAAAATACCTTCAAAAGTGGGGAAAATGTTTTCCGCTTTTTTTCATATCTTCTTTCACCTCACTTTCTTTCAAATAACACATTTTTCTTTTCTTTCAGTTTATTTTCAGGTTTCACCTCAACACTGGAAAATATTGTCATTTTTCTGAAAAATGGCTTTCTGGAAAACATTTTCCAAAAACGTTACATTTCCTGCAAAATAAACGGAGCTTTAATGTGGTATGGTGGGGGTGAGAAAATCATCTAAACACGATAAATAGTAAAATTCCCAAATATCCAAGAGACAATGAGATTACCAGTCTTCAAATTTTGTCAACATGCGACGTTGTTCCTAAACTATCAATTGCTTCAGTTAGGTTCCTAAACTTTTAATCAATGTGTAATATCTTCTTTAAACTTTCAACTAGTTAAATTAGATCTTTGGATTCTTTTAATATGTTCAATAGCATCTTTACAGTACAATTCCGTTTGTTTCACGGAAAATATTCTTTGGGAAAAACATTTTCCTCATTTTTCGTAATTTGGATTACTTAAGAAATGAGTCAACGAAAAATGTTTCATTGTCAACAAAAACCTCTGCTTAAATTCAGGAATATGATTATCTCTTTAAAAAATAAAAAATCAATTTTCAAAATATAACTGGATAGCGGCGCTTGAATTTAAAACTCTACGCTTGAGCACAGGAACTCTAACGCTCGTTCTTGGGCCATTCATAGCGGACCTGGGTCTAAAGGCCGAGGTCTAGTCCACCAAGATCCTTTGAGGCCAAGCCTAGGTCCAAAGAGGGCGGGCCCGAAACCTCGATGCCTAGGCAACAAAGGTGGGGTTCGGGACATTGGCGTGAATGCTGGGACCTCGGCGCTGTGGCTGGGTACTGGCGCCTAAGCCCGGGTCCATAGAATTCGAGCCTAGGACCCCAGTATCGTTGCTTGGCTCCCCAGTGCCTCGAATTGGGTCCACAGAGGCCTTTCCGACCGATGTACTCCGCCATCTGGCCGCTCATGATTCCCCCAATCGTACCTCCCACATTCTCCATGGAGCTAAATATTGAAGACTATATCCACCATTATACCGCAATCAGGAAGAAACTGCGTCAATGAACAGTAAAAAAGGGATCGAAAACCAGAACTGTAAGATTAAAATTCTAGATCCTGAAGCAAGTGGAAACTGCGAGAGCGAAAGGCCTAGGTCGCTCATTATGTCCTCCGCCGCAGGAGATGAATATCCACTCTGAAAGCCGAAACAGCACAAGAATTACACAACCACAAGATGCGCCGATAGACAGATAGATAGGTACGTAGATAGGTAGATGGATAGAATCAAAACGCATTATGCAAATTCGGGCTTACAGAGTATCCTAACTGAAGAGAGCCCAAGGCGACTCTTGACACTCACAGGAGGACGGAGACGGAGCCGGACCCATAGCAGAGGATCTTTGCCGATCCGGAGTGGCTGGACGGCCTCGACGCCTCCCCCTGCATCGTGTACCACACCCATGTGCGGAGGAACAGCTTCGTCAGGTCCCTCCCGGCCTCAGCGTCTTCAAGGGCACCCATGTTGGAGCTCGAGGCCGACAGCTTCTCCAGAAGATGCTGCTGCTGCTGCTGCTTCTTCTTCCTCCTCCTCCTTATCAGTTTGAATCTTGAAGAACTGTGAATTGTTAGCGATGATGATTGAGAAGATGTTATGAGAAGATGAGGTCGTTCCTCTGACCGTTGGTGTGAAAGCAGAGGGAGGTGATGGCTGGCGCCTGGCGGACGAGACGGAGGAAGGTGATCGGTGCTGACCCTCAGATGGCGCGCGTATCTTGAAATCAAAAGATATGCAAAGATGCGGCTGCATGTGTCAAACGTGCCCTTTTTTTTTTTTATATATTATTGTATCTATCAAGATAGGCAAAGATACCTGAGTTGCCATTTATTTCGTGAAAATAAATAATAGGAAATTTTTTTTTAAAAAAAATGATTGCTTGTATTACCTAAAAGAGAAGAAGGAAACGAATGGAAATACTTTTCATCAACTAATTATTTCAAGCAATACGCACAATTATTTTTTTTTAAAGTTTTCCAAATCAT